AATTAGCAACAAATGCTTTATTTTGTACCTACAATATAATAAAATATGTTTTTAATATATATGATCTATCCTAACGTACATTCAAACTTTATTTCTTTTTTTATTTTCTAATTTCAACGCTTACTAAGTATTTTAAAATGACTGGTACGGCGTGGCCGACCCTGCCGCCCCTGACCAGCCGCCCCTGCTTATAACTTATAAGACTAGAAAAAAGCTAAACTTAGCTCCGCCCACCTCCTTCCTCCATTTCACTGACTTATTGCATTTACTGTTAACAGGATTTGAATTTTGATTTGACAAGCGGCAGAATCTAAGATGTAAATAAAAAAAAGTGGCCCCGCCCACCCGCCCCTCCTTTGTTTTGATAATTTCTTTTATTGGCTCTGAGAAGAAAGTTACATTTTACGTTAACAAATACTAGAACTTGGGACTTTATTTATCAAATTTTTATTTTTCTTGGAAAAACGACGTTGCCTTAGCGTTTACATCGAAATGTTTAAAAATAACATGAAATAGACACAAAGAGGTACAATTGTAAACACCGCCCCAATTCTCCGGCCAATGAAACGATGTATTAAGGTCGGGCTTGTGCGAGTGGGAGGAGCATCAGTAATATTGCGTTTTAAATATAAATCCAACGTATGGGATGCTTATTTAACACTAGCCGAATAATTTGTAGATATTTTATTTACAATGTATCTATTTTCTTATAGAGTGTAACAGAATTACCCGAGATTCAATAATATAATAACGTTGTCATTAATCAACAATATTAAAAGTGGTCATTTGAATCATGAGGGGGGTGGGTGGGCGGGGCTTTTGCTTGCTAGTAAGGCTGTAGAAAAAAGCTAATAACTTATCTCCGCCCACTTCCTTTCTCCATATATTATCAATACATGCTTAACTTCGACAGTTTATACCTTAATACAGTTAAGTCCATCAAACAGGTTGACCAAAAAAACAAAACGGTTTAAACATTAAAAATACTAGAATAGCAAACAAAATCGAAGTGGATTCATAAACCACACTTACAGGAGTACGTTATTTTATAAATTTACATCACAATAACACGACATTGATAATATATTCCTCAAATTTGACCACAATCGGTCCACTAGTTTCTGAGATTCTCTGTCAAATCTCACAAAAATTACATTTTTAAATACACCTTGTAGTTTATTAGGTTTCTAAATTTACTTTAAAATGAGTTTTAATAAAATTGTTCGCAGTATCTTTTTAGAATCTAAACTAAACTATCCTGTTGTGAGCACCGATGTCCAAAATAAAAGTGGATTTATAAATAAGAATAAATATAAATTGGATTTACTTAACAAAATTTTGAGGTGGGGACGATAAAACAATTTTTGATTAGCGTTTTGCAACTCCTAAAATACGTCTCAAATTTCACAACAGTCACTCGGAAACAGAAGTCCCACTTTTTAAATTCTAGGAGCTACGAAACGTCGAGGACCAATTCTTCAGGTTTTATTATTATTATTTTTTTGATAACACTTTCGACTGGAGTTGTAGCGGACGTAAGACAAACTAATTTAAATTCCGTATGTGTAGACGAGCTCTTCAAAACAGAGGAAATACTTAATGTAATGTATTTCGTTGATGAAACGCATAAATCAGATACTTAAAATTGTACGTTCTACCACCAACTCAAACGCCAGAAGCCCTAGTTTCCGCTGAAAAATTGCAGACCCAGTCACCGAATTTTGTTTTTAATTATTGATTCACACCATGAAACTGACTTGCACCGACAACTTCTGAACAGTTGCTGCATTACGTAATAAAAAAAATCGGAAATGCAATTCGTTTAGCTTCAGTTATTATTCATAAAAAACACGCTCAATTAATTTAACACTTTCCGCATTTCACGACTCATTTACTTCCACGGTAATTACAAATTAGCGACACTGATATCATTTTTCATTCACCGTAACCAATAAACGATAACATTTTTAAAAATGTGCTATTAAAAAATCAATTTATTAGCTGCACATTCGAACCAGCAACCACGCCCACATTTTTCGCAGCCGCCTAAACATTCCCGAAATTTCCAACCAAAAAACCTGAAACACCGGGTATAGGTATGTCTTAAATTAGCCGCGTCCTTCGCCACGCGACCTTAACTCCTGATCCTGACACAACTTGACACAAACAAAACCGTCAAATTATTGAAAAATACACCGGAAACGCGACAATTAATTTTTAATTAGTCCCGAAAGCAGTGTTTAAAGCAGCCTTGACGACACGCGTCCCAGTTCTGCCATCCTCATCTCGATGACCCTAATTGTATGGACTGGCAGCGACCTTGAACTTCGACTCGAAACACTGCAATTTCAAAGTTTGATTGCTACAATTTAGCAATCACAATCAAATTGTACCTTGCGAAAAATGCAAATGTGTAATTTATGTCAAAACTTACGGTTGAAAGAATGTTTTTTTTTCTTCGTTCTTTAAGGTAACGTTTCATTAATTCAAAGCATAATTAAGTGCAGTTCTGCTCTATTACTTAATTTAAATGTTTGACTGGACGAGGTGTGCTAGTTTTTATCAACAAAAATCGTAAACTAGTACCAAAACCTGCTTAGCAACGCCACTATCTTAAAAATTCGAAAGTCTTAAGTGCATCCGTACCGTTACTAACGACCTTTCGTGCCGATAAACATTCACGTTTACTCCCAGTTGTGATTTTTAATTTCTTTTTTATGGTCTATCAATCACCGCCTCGATAACCGCTATCACTTATCAATAATTTATGGGCAATCGGGTGGGATTTGGGGTTTCGCTCGGTATGTTGGTTAATGAATGGGAACATCCATGCTCATCGAGTGATAATTATTTCAATGGCAGTCATTTGCAAACCAGACCGTGGGTGAACAGATGGTGAAGAGTTCATCTGTGGCATTCTTTTCGAATTAATGACTGGAATCGAATTCATCGCACGATTAACGGTGCGGCAAGCGGAAAATCGCACAATAAACTGCAAACTGACGATTTCCGAAGACCGGCTTGACAATTTCCACAAATGCCATAGTTTCGAGTGTCAACGACTTCGTACTTTCGACCCGGTCTCACAAACCAGAAGCGTGTAAATCTCAGGTTTTTAGGTCGTGTATGCCACTAAATTAAAACAATGGGTTATTTATATTTGGTTTCTTGGTACTCGAGGACTTGTGCAATCTCAAATGGCAAATAATTCCGATGTAGATCTTTTCGATAATGTGATTCAGCAGGTGAGAGGTTTGAGCACCCGGTGACCTATTTTGATATTATTGAAACCGTAGAGATGAGTTGGAAAATTTCGCTTATCGAAATCGCCATTCATGGCCTTTTTAATGGACTGATACCGAAAGTATTTGCTTTTTAAGTGCCCGTTAATTGTTTAAGTGTAAAATGACCTCACAACCTCCCACATATTTTTAGCAGAATTTATGCAAATTGGTGCGATTGTGCAATGGTCTGTTTTTTAAAACGTGGCAGTTACTGATTGGTTAGTGTCCGGTGAATCCCTGATTTGTTGCCCGCCTTCCAGTCTTGCGCATGCGCGATCATTTAAATTTGAAGACTGACAGAAAACACCGAGAATAATACACGTATATAATTATGTATATGTAAATATGTATGTACTTTTTCGGTTAGCTGAATAATGATCAGATAGTAGGCAAACACGACATTAGTTACTCACGTTAAAACATCACCTGATGCGTCGACAGGATATCGACAAATTCGCCATTCTGCATTCTAATACAGAAAATCTTGTAGGCAACACGGGGTAAAAGTAGCTTTAACTCACGTGGTGGGTTCGCACGTATGTCTTTGCAATTCAAATAACTGTTTTTATTAGATGGGTGATAAACAGGCAGTAAAAATTATTGCAATTTGTGGGTAATAAAGTCACATATGTAAATAACTCAAGTTAATCAGTCGAAATGTCACCGGATGGTGAAAAAGCCACATATTAACCATAAATCACTGTGAAACCCCATTTATAAACACTTTCTAATGGGAATTTTGGTTGACAGTGGTACCACAACAAATTCTTCAACCGGAACCAGCTGCATTTTTTTCATTTTCAATATAGCCACGTGGAAAACTTCTCACAAACAAAACTGACCATTTGCTAAAATTCCTCACCTTCAAAACAAACAACACCTCGTCCACCTTGACGAAACCGGTTCTCAAATTATCACCTACGCAAATCCCAAAGCACAGTTTGCCAACCCCCGCAACTTATCAAACCCGCCACTAGAGGGAATCCGTAATTCACCCCGCTCTGTGCAAATGAGGTCACGAATTAATATCCTTTCCTTTGACCCAGACCTCTAGGAAAATAACAGCGCTCCTCTCACTAAATATTAATTTCGAGTGACAACTGGGTAATTTGTGTGTAATTCAGGAGCGACCCTTGGACTTTGCTCCATGAAAATAAGCCGTAAATTAAGAATTTCCTATTTTAAAACCAATTGAGAGCATAGGGGCTGGCATGGCAATCTTCGCCGCAAATGGGCTAGGTCAAGGAGTTCGTTTACCTCAAGTCGGCGTAAATAATACCATGATGGGTGCACACGCTCACGTGTTTAATCGATCAAGACACGTCAGATTGTCATTAATGACAACGCGTGTCACCACTGACACACCGACTTAACCTCAACGGGCCCCCGAAGACGCCGGTTTTGAAAATTCGCACGGCCCAACCGACCCGGATTTAGGTTAGGTCCGACTTACCGAAGTTAGCCGGCAGATGATCAACGCTGGTCCCGCTTATCTCCAATGTTTTCTGTTTTTGTTTCAGTTATCACGACACTTAACACCCGTTATCTGCGAGACTCGCACAACTAACGCGCTCGCATTGATAAAAATGTAACACACTGTATTTTTGGACAGGTTGGCGTCGGCCAATCAGAACGCCCGAAGAGTGGGAGGGATAGTGGCGTGATTCTTTACGTCACCATGTGGACGGCCGAAAGATCAATATTTACCACCATTGGCACCCCCACGCGCCGAACAACCCGGGACTGCGCCCCCGAACCCAAAAGGGGCACCCGCACCCCGAAAAACACCACGACAACGAAAATCGGCGCCAAACACCCGCTGGAACGGTTGGGCGATTTTGAAATGGCGCCATAGAGGGCGTGGCGTCGCATAAAGCAAATTCCTGTTTTACCGACAATGACGACTCGCGTGGCTAACAGTCGAGAAAAAGTGAGGTTACGTAGAAATGGAATTAACGCAAGAAATAGCCACCGCGTTGTACAAAAACACGATCCAGTACCTTCACGACGTAACCGAAAAGGTCCCAAATACCCTCAGCGTGCTAAAGTCGTACTACGCGTAAGTAATCATTTCCACCTCGACGGTTTATTAATAGACGATTGTAGGTCGAAGTTTACGATTTCGCAACTCCAAACCAAGATTAATTTAGAAGGGGGTCACAGTAAATACGATCCCAGGTGTCGCAAATGCTGTCTCAAGTTACGACAAAGCGGGGCGTCCTACGCCGTGGCTCCGGAAACAAAGAAGTCGAAATTTGCACAAAAACTTCTAAAAAAAGCGAAACGAAAGCAGCCGTTGACTAAATTCCAAGCGAAGTATTTAAAAAAGAATGACCTCACGCCGGGGAATCGACTGGTATGGAGTTACAAGTTGTGACTGTCGTAACGGGGTTGTTGTAGATTGTTACGTGTACTTTTTGTCAGAAAAAGGCGACTTATGTTCTTAATAAACCCGTGAAGGTGCGCGTTGATGTTAACGCGAATCAACCTATACAGGGTCGAGCTAAAAAAAAGAAAAACAAGAAGAAGGATAAGTTTTGTGGGTTGCAAAAGGAGGCTGTGGTGTCAGCCAAACGTGCTAACGTGAATAGTAAACAGAACGAAAATGACAATCAAGAGTGTGTAAACAGGGTTTTGAATAACCCCATTCTTAAACAGAGGGAGAACCAGAAGAAGAAGAAGAATCTTAAAAAGTTGAACTCGATGTTGAAACAAAGCAGTCAGCTTAAGGCGCCTAAAAATAACCTGGCACAGTTTTTGCAGTCGCTGGCTAAATAAAATGAATGAATAAAAACCTACTAAAGATATTTTATTTATAAAATAACATTTAAAACAATCACACTGTATTAGCTGGTGGAAAATTTCTTCAGTTAGGAAAGTTTAAGGCTTGTTAGAATATGTTCAATCCAGTGGAATTTGTTCCTTGACAATCTGAAAATCGCTCGTTTAAACACAAATTTGTGGTAGCGTGACATGCAAGTACCGTAAGCGCGGGCACACCTGATGCACCGTCAGATGGGGTATGGTGACTTTGACAGTTGTTTCAACAAATTATCGATATCTTGTTGTTTAAATTTGTTATTTATGTAGTGATAAGAAATTACAAGTTGATTATCAAAATATTTTAATGTATACACTTTTTTAAGCCTGTTTACGACGATAAATTAGCAATAAAAATAATTAAGTACGTGTGTAAAGTATGTTTTACACGTTTGCCATTAAAAAGACACCAAATACTAATTCATAGGCATATTTGTATATTTTTCTAGTGAATAAAGATTTAATAATAGTAGAATTCTATTATCTCGTGTACAATTCCTGCAGCGCTGGAAATACTTATCCTCCCATCTGTCGGCGCCCCCGCAGGGCCGGAAGTTAGTAGGGGTCCACTACACAGTTGGGCACATTGACAGACTAACTCAGCCAGAAGCCCCAGTTACGCACTAGCGCACCGTCACGTGAGTGGCACGTGCCAAGCCTACGCCACCTACCTTCACGCACAAATTTCTATACTCCTGGTCGTTACACGTCGCCGACCGTTCTGGCAAGTCTTTGCCGCGCCTCCTCAACTCCTGACTCACCTCCACCAAGTCCAGGATCGTGATCGGGTCCAGTTTGTGTCTGCCAATGAGCCCAACTAAATACTCGATGTAATGCAGCCTACGCACACAAACACAATTCGATTAGGGGGAGTACCTGATACAGACGGAATCTGTACATTTCCCGGGGCGTCCCGTAAGCGTTCGGCGGCAGTTTCTTGGCGGCGCGTCTGACGACCGTTTCGAGGTCGTCGGCGGATAAGAGATCGATCGTTTCGAGGCCGTGCTTTCGTATCAATTTACACAAATACTCAAAATAATGCATCCTGCGTGCAATCGGGTCATTTCGGGTGGAATCGCCGCTGACGGGATAGTTACCTGCAGAGGCCGCCCTGGCCCGGGGTCACCTCGTTGTTGCAGACGGTGTCCACGAGCCCGCTGGGGGTCTCGCGCTGCAGGGGAATGGCGCACTTGGCGGCGGCGCTGGCGTTGTCCTCCTTGTCGGCGGGGGCGTCAGTGTCGAAGTGGACGTGGTGCTCCTGGAAAAAAATGGGTAATCCCGATTGAGTGTCTCAAGTGACTTACTTTGAGCAGTCGCTGCAGTTCCGCGGGCTCTTTGTCCCTCAAATAGAACAAACAGTTACGGGGGTGGTGGGCGTGCAGACCCAGTTTGGCGCAGTACTGGCTCACCCCGCACTTGGCCCCCATCATGAACGGTTTTCCGCACCCATAGCAAAATTCGTGCTTGCACTGGGTGCAGGTGAAATGCATGCAGCCCCCGCGAGCCAGGGAGTACCGAAATTTACACTTAGGGCAGTCGATGCCATTCTCGGCGAGGTGTTTGGCGACTGCAGTGGCTTGATTCTCGGGGTCGTTGGCGTCCTTCCACTCTGCGAATTTTTCGCAACTTATACCTTCGTGTTGCTTTTCCCACTAGAATTGATTTTATAGTTTGACTATTGTGACGAATTTGGTACGCACCGCTCGGCCACAATTGGCGCACGTCATGGCTTTGCAGTCCGGACAGACAAGTCTTCTTTGGCGAGGATTGGCGATGAAGCCCGACGAACACTATCAAGGTTATTGTAACAAACGTGGTGTGGTGACACAGGGTTTACTTACTTTGACGCACCACTTGAAATTAGGGTCTTGCATTAAAGTCCGGTCTCTTAGTTTTCTTTGGAATAGCTCGTGGACGGTGGCGTCTAGAATACCCTTCAGAAGAATGTCTAAGTTTGCGAAATAGTCGGAGACGTCGTCTTCAGAAGTCTCGGTACTAGTGAGCTCTGGTTGTTTACAAAAAGGACAAGTGCAATCCATAATGGACCTATCGGTGACTTGGACAGTGAAGTAGTTTTTGGCGCACTCTTGGCAACACCGGTGGGTACATTTCAACATCGACACGATCTAGAACGACACCGTTAGATGGTTCCTACGTGAACCTAGACAATCACCTGGTTCACAGGGTACTTCCCAGCACACAACTCACAATCTTGTTGCAAGTACGCAATCGCTGCATCCAAAGTCGGACAATCCTTAACAGCCTCTAGCGCTTCTTCCGTCGAGAACTTGAGCGCCATGAGACTCACAGCCAACTCCGCTTGTTGGTAATTGTCGACTTGACCCTCGGCTAAGAACCTCCGCGCCTGTCTCTAAGAGGATTTTAATGTTTAACTAAACGTCAAAAAAGTACCAACAACATGAAAATCACGGGGGCAAATCTTACCTCCATCACTTCAATCTCACTCGGTTGTTTAACTTCAACGTTTATATCGATTTTATTGTCTTCCTCTTCTTCCGACTCGTACTCCTCCGACTCACACGTCTCCTCATAGTAGTCACTCCCTTTCTGGTCCTTCAAATTCGTAGTCAATTTCTTCACCTTCGCACTAATTTGCTTCAAATTGATATTCAAAGAGTTCACAATCTCGCTATTCTTTTTATCGAACTCGTTGTAATCCTCGGTGTCCGATTCCTCCACTTCGTCGTACTCTTCAAAGTCCTCGTAGCTGTCTTCGTCAGTGCTCGGGTCGAGCAATTCCTCCACGTTACTATCAGAAACTGACGAGTCACTATCGTTGTCTAGCGATTTCGTGTACGAGAGTTGCTTAGAACTCGTGGTGGACTCCACCGAGCTGTTGCGGAAAGAACTCAAGCTGCCTTTTTTGTGACTACCGCTTAGCTGCTTGTTCATGTCTTTGACCACCTGGACGCCTTGCTTCATCTCTTGTTCGATTTCTTCAGACGTGCGCTTCTGGATCAAGGGTCGCTCACTCCCTTTGTCTTCTTCTTCGGTTTTCTTGGACGCATCTTCCGCCGGTTTTTCGCTGCTCGGTGGTTCGGTTTCTTCATTTACAACCGCAGCAACCACATCCGCTTTCCCCTTTTCTTCTTCTACTTCGTTGTTCTTCACAGGGATGCCACTTTTTTCCTTGTTTGTTGCTTTCGCGGCAGCGATGTCGTTAACCTCACTCTTATTCTCTCTCTCGCCTTGATTGTTATCGCTTTGTTTATTTTTAACCGGAATCTGGCTAGTGCCAGTTTTAATCGGTATTTTACTACCAGATTGCACATCTGGCGACTTCGGGTCACTCTTCGAAATAGATCGCTGACGCGAAATCGGTATTCTGGACGGTCTTTTAGGCGGAACAGGAAGTACGGTTTGTTTATTTTGTGCTATTTGTACTGTTGTTGACGTTTTTGGATGGGGTTCAATGCTTTCTGGCGCTGGGGTGAAGGTCGCCGCCGCAGGTTCTTGTTTTATTTCTTCTTTGGTTTCTTCCTTCACGGGTTCGCTGTCGGTCTCAGTGGACGGTTTGTCGCTGCTCGATTCCGTGGTACTGGAGGAACCCCGGCGAGCCGCTCTTCTTTGGGCCCGGCGTTTTGCCCGTTTTTGGGACTTTTTCTGTTTTTTGGTTAGAGGGGGTTTGCTGTCGAGGGTTGGGGATGCTATGCCGTCTGGTTTTTCGGGTGCCGATTTTGCGCTACTTTCGTCTGTGGTGGCTGGGGGCAGCGGCGATGGAGTCTTTTTGGTGGGGTCTTCGGAGAGATCGAAGGATGATTCGGACGTTTTTAGAACATTTGGTGCTTTGGTTCGGACGCCTTCTAGAATACCAGGAGACAGTCTCGACGGGGAAAGAGATTTTAGGTAATTCTGGGCTATGGGTGAAGGGCTTTTGGTTTCAGTCGTCCTGAGAACATTAGGAGATAGGGTTGACACAGGTAAAGGACTCTTGGTTCTAGGGGGTTCTAGAATAGTAGGAGATCGAGCTGGAGAAAGAGGTTTTGGAGTTTTCGTAGTTAAAGTAGAGGGGCTTTTGGTTCTAGTGGTCTCTAGAGTTTTAGGAGGTAAGCTTGACACAGCTGAAGGACTTTCTGTTCTTTCGATGTCTGTATTTACAGATGATTTTGATTCTGCTGCAGTCTCTAGATCTTCTGTAACTTCTTTATTTATAGAAGCTGCATCGTCAAGAGTTACAACCTCTGTATTCAATTCTTGATCTTTAATAAGTTCTGGTTCTTCAACTTTTACTTCAGAGGTTGTACTTTCAAGTGACGGTTCCGACAAATTTGGTACCTCCACAGTTTGGTTCGTACTTGGAGCCTCTTCTTTCTGCTCTCTAAAAGTTTCTTTATCAACAATTTGTTCCATTTTTGCTTCTTCTAAGTCTACATTTTCAACATTGTCGTTAACTGCTGAAACCATAGAGGAATCTTCTTTTGCAAATTTTTGTGCCTCAGTGTCATTTGAATCAGAAATCAGATTTTGTTGAATTTTCGACTGCGGTTCTTTAGAATCAACTTGGTCAGCTTCAGCATTTATAGTATTCGAATCATCTTCAAGAGTACCACTTATGTCTCCTGCTTCCAAACTAGTACCAGCTAAATTAGATGAAGAACTTAACGCTTGATTTTCTTTTCCTTGAACAGTACGTTCAGAACCACCTTTAAGTTGCTCGTCGGAGGTCTCCAGATTCTGCTTTGGTTTACCCTGCGAGACCTCCACGTCATCGTTTTTTGGTGCTTTATTTTGCAACTTGATAGCGGCAGTACTTTCAAGTACAACGTCGTCGGTACTTTTGGAAGTCCCAGGTTGAACCATCCTAATTTCGGTGCTACTTTTAACCAAAGGTATGGCTTTAGGAGCGGGTTCAACCTTCTCGGGTTCTCCGGTACTACTCAAAGTGATATTCAAAGTACTAATGCTCTTTCTTTTTGACAGCGGCATGTGTATGGACTGATTCGGGACTTCACTCACAGCATCCACGAAGTCCTCCGGCCGATTTCCTTCATCGCTGCTCTCCGTGTCGCTGTAGTCCGACTCGACTTTCTCGTCTCTTTCAGCTTCAGGAACGTCATAGTTATGGTCTAGCACTTGGATTACCGTACTACTTTTCTCCACGTAAACTTTAGTTTTAACGGGGGGTTCTTTAACGTCACTAACTTCTAAACTATCACTAAGGTTGTTAATATCTTGTAAGTTTTTTAAAACTTCGGATTCTATAGTGTCGAGAGTTTCAAAATTTTGAGTTTTTTTTAATTCCTCTTCTGGGGTTTGAATAGGGGGCGTTTTACTATGAGTGGGACTTACCGCTTTGGCCATTTCCTTATCGCTTCGCTCAATATCAACATCTACAAGTTTTGAGTGAAAAAGGTACTACGGTCGTGGTGAACTTACCTTCGCCCCTTATTTTCTCCAAAGTCGCCCCCTGATTACCTGCTTCGTTCTCCGTACCGACGGGCGGTCCCCAAATCCGCATTAAAAACGGCTTGAGTTGAGTCTTACTCAGCTCGTTAAACGCGGCTTCCAAGTCACCGTGGTTCGCGGTAAGTACCGTGAGGATGTCCTCTCGGCTGAAGTCCCCTCTCGACGCCAACTCCGCGTACTAAACTCACTCAAATTAGTACCAGATTCAAACTTTAAAGCTCAAGGTAGTACCTTGCGTTGTCTTTGTTCCACGCACTCGGTCACGGCCGGCCACAAGTTCCCCTTGTGTAGTCTCAGTGCAGCTCTGGCCTCCTCCTCCGATACCGTACCCACGATGTTCATGGGACCCTCGCGCCCCATCTGGGTCGCCAGGGTCTGAACACTCGCGATAGTGGCGTCCCAATTCTGGCGCAACCAATCAATCGGGTTCATATCTTTGCAGTGGCTCAGAGCCGCCTGGACTTCGTCGGCCGTGTACTTGTACTGCTCGGCTTCCCGCAGCAGCTTGACCAGCTCCATCCCCTGCGACTTGAAGCTGTGAAACCCGTTCTCGGTGAAGTCCAACGAGTCGGCGCGTGCGCGGTGACTTGGATAGTCGTTCTGTGGGAGAAAAAACCGTCAAAGCCCCGGTACTAAAAGGGGGATCAAGCAACACAGTCAAATCAAAGCCTTATATTGCAAAGAAAAGCACCCTGTAAAATGGAGGTTCCCGGTAGAGTTCGGGCTTGCGCAGATCCATGATGCTGTAATAGGATCGGTTCATTGTGGGTCTTCGATCCCTCGACAGGAGACGCTCTACGTTCTCGTCTCCGTAATCGTAGGGCGAAGGACTTTGCTCTCTACTACCTGGCAAGCTCTAGATAGAATGAGTGTTAGAGCGGGTCTACGACGGTGATTTGTGTAAACCTGAGAGTCGGTGGTGAAGGACTGGCGGCTGGAGGATCTGCGCAGAGACCACTCGGAGCTGCGGCGGGCGCTTGTCATGTGGAGGGAGTTGGAGCGGCGGAGGTCTCTTCGGCGATTGTTCCGGCTGGTGGGGCGGCCACGGGGGGATTTAGGAGCGTCCTGAGGGACGTCCTCGTAGGTCTAGAAATGGAAGAGTCACTAAGTGAAGACAGAGTCAGTGACAGAAGGGTTGAACCGGCTACAATTCAATCGTCCTGTTACTGACAATTCGGTACTGCCAGACGCTGAACCGTCTATAGAATAAGTACTTGTGTGGACATGTTTTGCGGGGGCGGCGACGTTCCGGTGGTCACTTTATCACTTTTAGCACTATCATCCGCGGTACCGACACTTTTAACACCACTAACACTTTCCGCAGGAGCTTTGTCATCCATTTCACTCGCACTAGCAGACACGTCTTCTTTTCCTGTAACAACAGGAAAAGTTACTATCGCAACCACAGAATTTATTTAGTAGATTAGATCACGCAGACTAAGGACTAAAAACAACACAAGGACTGGTCTAGTTTTGTTTATTTATAGAGAATTTTGTGCCCGGCCAAAAGGAAATTTTTCTACCCCTACCTTTCTTCTCTTCTTCTTTAACTTCGTTCGTTTTTAACTTGCCGAGTTTGTTCAATAGCGACTCAGTCTCGCTGTAATCTTTACTATAGTCGTCACTCGAGCGACTTCTTTGCAGTTTCTGCTCTGAGGACTTGACTTTGGGCTGGGGTTTCAGCACTTCTTCGCTTTGCACGAGTTTTACGTTAATGGTGGCTGTTTTACAACAGATCAGACATACTTTGGTTCCGGGTTCGTTGACGAAGGTACAGTGCTCGCACTCCCAGCTCAACGCCGGTACTTCTGGTAGTACTTTAACGTCGTCTTCCTCTGGTTCCACTTTTACTTCTTCAATTGCGGTCTCGGGGAAGGTTTTTCTGTTAAGTTCGTTCTCTTTTTGACTTTCTGAGTGTTCGTCGTCGCTCTCGCTGGACGATCCGCGTCTTATGTTGGACACTCGTTCGATCCTGTCAATGGTGTTCCTTCTTGGTGGTGGTACTTCTCTCGGTATGGACGCCGTCTCGCGATTCGAGCGTTGCCTCTCCGGGTACCTCTTCCTTTCTCTTTCACTGTGACTGAAAATCGATCTTCTTTCTTCAATTTCGTCTTCGTCGTCACTCTCGTGGTACTTCCTGCGACTCTTCTTGCTCATAGACGATTTTCGGGATTTGATGCTGTGGGTGGGTGAGGGTGGACGGGAGTGGTGGTGCACGTGTCCCATGGGTACGGGGTACGGGTACATGGCGCTCGGAGGCGGACCATGCCAAGTACCCATCCACATGGGGTTAACCGGGTATGGTCCCGGCGCCACATTCAAACTCAAGTTGCTCCCAGTTCTCTGATCACACATCGCGCAGTCAACCCACTGGCCCTGGTAACACGTGGGACAGTTCAACTGCGCCATGGATTGCGCCTGAAATAGTACCACTATAGTACCAATTTGCAAACCGCACTAGTAGTTAGTACTTGTTGCATGGGCATGAAGCCGTGATGGTGGTGGTGATGCGGCATGGTATTATTCAAGTCAAAGACCGACGCGCTATGGGGCATACTCCTGGGCGGCGGACACGACGTGTTGCTGAGTTTCCTCAAGCGACTACCGCTTTCCGAGCCCGAGATGCTCCCAGACCGGAACCGCGAGTTGTTCCATTGCTCGTTTTCCCAGTCCGGGTAGCCGCTATCCCGACTAGGGGGCTGCAATTTTTCGTTTCATTTTTTTTTAATTAAGTATGAGTAGTACCTTGTCGAAGTCGGAGCCGGGGCTCGACAAATTGGGCGTGGTCCCCCTCATCGCCAGCTGGTGCTGTCTATACCTCTGCTGCAACGAGGGACTCGGACTTGGTGCGTCAAAGCCGCGGTTGTACCGATCCAGCCTCGGCGGACTCGGCGACACCTGTCGAGCTGCAAACCGATTGGTTGACTTACGTCACACTCTTCCACGTTACTCACTGTGATTGGGCGAGACCGGCGTCGGCGGGAGGGGCCTTGCCCCCACCATCCGTTTCAAATTATTCATCTTCTCTTTGAAAGAGAAGCTATTGTCCTTCCTGGGGAGGGTGGGTACCCCCTAAAAATACGCCTCGATTATCGCTCCACGTTTCTCTTTGTCCTTTAAGCTCTAAGCTGAGGTTTATTATTAAGAGGGGGGTGAAAGCTAGCGAAATGTACACAATATAAGGCTTCGATTCGTTTATTTATTCAAAGATATGTACAATAGAAGAGTTGTTAGCTGGGACAACACTGCGTTCCTACCTGATTGTGTCTGAGAGGGGTGGGGCTGGGACATGGGGACGGCCCGATGGAGCCGGCGCGGCGGTGGCGGCGAGGGGGCGGCACGGGGGCCGAGTGGGTCTCTCCTTTGGGGGGCAGAGGGGGGCGGATAGCCGACTCCATAGCCTGAAGAGACACTTGCACTCGACAATTAAAGCGTCCAGAGCGACTTACCCTCCGGACATGGGTTTGACGCTTGGGGTGGCGATGGTACATGTCGTCGCACGAAAGGCAGAAGATCTGGACGCAATGGTCGCACCTGACGGATGGGTTGGAGGACCCGCACAGTTGGCAGTGTTTACCATCGCGCTTCGACTCTGTTGGGTTATGTTATTTATTTAAAAACAAAGCTCCTTATGACGTCACAATCTTGGCAAATTTTTATTTAAACGTCGTGGTCCTCGTGGTTATGTTGCAGTAACGTAACAAAGTTATGTAACTGTCATGAGTGTTATCCAAGGTTGTTATCTGTTATTGTTACATAGCGTGCTATTTTTATTATAACATTATTATGTCACTTTTAGAAAAAAAAGCAGAGTGTTTACCATCGCGCTTCGACTCTGTTGGGTTACGTTATTTATTTAAAAGAAAAGTGATGAGAAAACAAACAAAGCACGGCGTGGTTATGTTGCAATAACATAACAAAGTTATGTAATTGTCAACAAGGTTGTTATCTTTATTGTCACATAGCGTGATATTTTTGTTATAGCATTATTATGTCACTTTTTAAACGTTGTGTATTTAGAAAAAAAAAACAGTTGTATTTGGTTTAGATTCATAACAATTTAGAACAAAATCATGCATTGAATGAAAGCAGTGATTGTTAATGTTATTATTATTATTATTATTAAAAAAAAAGGTTTGGGAGAGATGGTAACGAGAAATGATTCATTAAAACAAAAGTAACAAGTAGGTTGTTGGGTGGAGGTTGACGTACCGTTTTTTATGGGTAGTGGCGGGGCGTTTGAATACTGCTGCCCGAACTCGATCACTTCGTAGTCCGGCTCTGGCAGATTTTTGGAAAATGGCGGGTGGGTCTTCTCTTCCAGCGGAACGGGCGGAGGCGGCGCCCCTGACCCGCTTTTGTACTGAAAACCCGGAAATAGTAACAATACGCATTATTCCAAGCCCAATCTAAAAATAAATCGCGGAACAAGGAGTAATTTAAAATAAAAATCTAGGGAGTTTCGCGGCGGTGGCGTTGGCAGCACCGGATCTCCCTAGTTTGTTTTCGCAACATGGCGCCGTGGTTGACAAAGCTTTGACAGCCCGTTTGAACTTTATTGAGCTTTTTATTGATATTTATGTTTAGTTTTACATGACGATGTATACCCTACCGAACTTTTGCCGTGTTTGCCTCAAATACGACAAGAATCTCATCGATTTAGAGCACATAGAAAATGAGCCGAGTGAAACTTTAATGAGTAAACTTCAGCAGTGTGTATCTGAAGTGGTATGTTTATTTTTGGTCGTCCCTCAGCGAAAACCCGCTTTTATTCGTTCTATTTTCAGGAATGGAAGGTTTTCAAGCCGCTGCTGTGCCACCCTTGCATAAAGCGCTTGAACATCGCTTACATGTTCAAAAAACAATGCGTCCAATCCGCCACTATGCTGAAGAGTTACGTGGCTTTATTGACCAAAAACAAGGAGTCGGAGTCGAGCAAGAACGACGCGGGGCAGTCCAACGCGTACATGATGCTCCCGAACCAGAAATACATCAAAATCGTGGTGGGCCCCCAGAACCAGAACACCTACCAGAACGTGTTCCTCAACGTGGTGCCGACGCCCTCGCTTAACCCGATCGGGTCGCCGGAGAACACCAAAAGCAAGGACACGAACCAGAACGTGTTCCTCAACATCAACAACACGTTCCAGAAGTATGTTCCTATGTCGCCCGAATCGTCCAAGAACCTCAGCGTGAGTCAGCTGCTGACTGAAAGTAAGAGCGAGGAGCTGAGCGTGGAGATCGACCCCACGGATTTCGGGCTCGGCGACGAGTGTTGCTCCGAAGACGACGAAAGTCAAGGTGAGAACGGCGTGAACGACTGGGAGGATGTTATTTCGGCGATGAAGATCGCGTCGCGCACGAACGGGACTCCGAATGGTAAACACGCCGAGGCGAAAGGCTCCTTCAGCAACTACGTTCCTATTTTACCAAAACAAGACGACAATTTTAGTAGTTCAGGTGAACATTTCCTTTCCCCGCAGTTGTTTTCGTCGCTGGATTTTAACTGTGAGACTTGTCAGAAGCAGTTTTCGTCCAGGGTGACGCTGAAGCATCATATTAAGAATTTTCACATGGGGAAATTTCCATTCAAGTGTGACTACTGCTGCAACCAGTTTATCGTCCGGGCTGAGTATGAAGCTTGCATGAAGTACCACAAGGGGGAGTCGGATCCTTTGGACACGTCTTTGACTTTGAACGATTTTAAGAACGAGCCTCCACCGAGCGAGAGGCCCGCGACTGAGCAAGAAACTACGAAAGAATCGACTGATTTAACTTGTGAGATTTGCCATAGACAGTTTAATAGTCCTTCGGGGCTGTTGAGACACAAAGTTCGCAAACACAACCAGAAGAGTAAAAAGAAGTACTTTATTAAAGGGATGAAGAACGCCAAGTGTGATATTTGTAATCGAGAATTCTCAACGCAGTCGTACATGCAGTTGCACAGGAAACTGCACTTGCGCGACGATATCGGTTATAAATATAAAGTATTCGGTAGGAATAGATACGCAAAGGGCGAGGAGGAGAAGGAGAAGGTGAACGTGAAGAAGGAGACGGAGTCGGACGAGGAAAAAGTACAGGACGTAGAAAAAAAATCGGACAATCAAGACGACAACAAAATGAGCAATAATGAAGAAGAAATGGAAATAGAAATGGACATCGTGAAAGAAGAGCCCAGAGTGGAGGAAGAGTCAACTTCAGATAACGGAAGCGAAAACTGAGCCTTAAAATTTTATATTACAGATTTTGATAACAGAAAGGGCACCACGTGAGTTTTATTTTATATTTTATACCGAAAGTATTTTGTTTAACGTAATTGTATTAAAACATGTACAATTGTCAGTTGAGGATTCGTCCTCTGTTCCTGAAGATGTCTCATAGCCTGTAACACCAAGCGAATCAAAATGATACTGCAATATTTTGTGTAATAGATAGATTTCGTTGTATGGGTGTCAGCACCCCTCGAATATAAAGGCACAGTTATTAATTTTAAACAAAAGCATTAATTTGTCCACTATATTTATTTCAATTCGTAGGATAAGTCTTAAGCATCAATTAGTTTTTGTATATATCAATATGTATTCAATTTTAATTCTCTAGATTAGGCGCGATTTTATACTTTCCTTTCTTGAACTGATTATTACGTAATTTGCAAAACCAAAAAAATTAGTTTAAAAACTCGGACACTGTACTGTTAATGATAAGCTTGTAGTAATTATTTTCGATTTTTAAGCTTTAAAACTCATTTCGAATTTTATCCTCATTTACTTACCACCCACTGTGGCATGTTTCTGGCGAGTCTTAGGCGCGTGGATGGGTTGGAAATGGCCATCGGCCTCCATTTGTTATCGTTTTTATTCTGAAAACAAAAAAAATGTAATAGTTATAATGTCATTAGTTTTATTTATTTCATATCATTTGTATTTTATATTAATCACAATAAATATTTTTTGAGAAAAAATGTATCACTGTGACACGGTCCGGACGTGGGACGATTAATCTAAAAATACAGCGTTGACGTAAAGTCGTAGCTGTATAAAATGCGTTCGGCGGCAAGCGTGTGGGAGATATAAAAAATACACCAAAACCATTAAAAATATAAAAACTAAGAAAAACCCGTCTCCAGAAAATCTTCCTGTTAACCGATTTTCCAAAATTAAGCAAAACTGAGAAAAACTCATTTCTCCACACTAGATTTTGAGACAAAAAAATTAAAAAATTCGATGAATACTGGCGCCGAAATGTAAATTTTATAAAATAACACTCCTGAACCTATAGTTTATGAATCCGCCTGCATTTTTTTAATTATATGGATTACAATTAAAAAAAATGCAAATAATTGAAAAACTAAAAAAAAATGATTTAGTAGTTTTCCGTTTATTCCCCCCCTCCAACTGATGACGTCATCTTACAATTTTGCCGAATAATTATTACTTCGTCTTGTGGATTATGAATCCGTGTTCAGTTTTCGCCCCAGACGTCCAGATTTTGGGAAAAAAATCAAAATTGTGTAACGACATTTTACAATTGGACTTTGAGAGATTTCAGGGTTATCGAAGTATGATGAAATTTAATAATTTTTCAAAGAAGCGGGATTTGTTGGATTGCACTTCAGGTGCGAGGAAAGTTCAGCGAAAGTAGCCTTCGACTTATTTTTCATTACGTTAATAGATTTTAATGCAGAAGAAGTGCTTAATTTGTCACACTTCGATCAGATACAACTTGGCCGAGTGCCAAAATTAGTTGGCAAAAAGCATAAACGGTTTATTATTATCTTTGTTGTGAAAACTTGTTACTAAAATTTGTTACTGGCTTCGTAATTTTTGTTATTGGTTTAGAAGAGATTGACTGATCCATTGAAACTATTCTCTGTAGTCAGTAGTACGCAGTTCAGCATTTGTTGCGATGTAGCAATCAATTTTTAAGTAGCTTCCGTGGCCAAACTATAATAAATTGGAGGGTTTTTGTAAAGAAAAACTACAAGTATTAAAAAAAAAGTGTTTTGTTCTATTTTGTAACAGAAAGACGTTTTCCTGGTTTGGCTTGTGTCAGTTTTGAAGTGTTTAGACGTTTGTCCACTACGTAGGGAACATTTTCATGTTTATTATTATTATTATTATTATTTCTAGATAAATACATAAAAAAACTACTTATTGTGCAGGTATTCTAAGTAAGTATTAAATGGAGGATTTAAGTTGATTATTACCATTTTAGACATGTTTTAAGTTTCTTGTCGTCGAAATATATCTACACATATTAAGAAAAAAAAGGCAAAATATAAGCCCCGCCCACCCACCCAGTCTCAATTGTGACGATGTTTTTATTCGTCGTGAGCCAAGAGGGCGGAGCTTAACTGCAAAATCCTGATTTCTCCACGAGAAATTAAATGTTTCTGAGTATCGTGTTGTTCAAAGAGTACTATGTATATTAAGAAAAAATTAAGCCCCACCCATACCTGCCTTGTTCTACATAGTAACGAAGTTTTCATTCGTTGGCAGCTCTAGGGGCGGAGCCTAACTGCAAAATCCATATTTCCCGACCATTTTAAACGTGTTTTAAATTTCTAAGAATAAAACAATCATTACAATGGAGATGGGGTGGGTGGGCGGGGTCAATATTTTGCCTTTTTTTCTTAATATACTTAGAATTCTTTGAACAGCACGATTCTCAAAAACATGTTTTAATATCTTGTAAAGAAATAAGTATTTTACAGTTAAGCTCCGCCCTTTTGCTTCACTGCGAATAAAAAAATCATCACAATTGAGACAGGGCGGGTGGGCTTAAATTTTTTCTTTTTGTTTTAATATGTGTAGACTTCTTTTGACAACATGGAACTTAAAACATGTTTAAAATGGAAAATTTGTATACAGAAATTTCGATTTCCTTCAACTTGCAAAAATGTACCATGTTTTAAGTTTCTTGTGAAAATATGGCCATGTATATTAAGAAAAAAAAAAGGAAAATATAAACCCCGCCCACCCACCCTATCCCAATTGTGATGATTTTTTTATTCGTCGTGGGTCAATGGGGCGGGGCTTAACTGCAAAATCCTTATTTCCCTACGAGTTATTATAAAAACATCCTAATTGCAAAATCCACATTTACCATTTTAAACGTGTTTTAAGTTTCTAAGAATAAAAAAATCATCGCAATTGAGGTGGGGTGGGTGGGCGGGGTTAATATTTTGGAAAATTTGTATACGGAAATTTCGATTTCCTTCAACTTTCAAAAATGTACCATTTTAACCATGTTTTAAGTTTCTTGCGAAAATATGGCCATGTATATTAAGAAAAAAAAGAAAATATAAGCCCCGCCCGCCCACCCTGTGTCAATTGTGATGATTTTTTTATTCGTCGTGAGTCATGGGGGCGGGGCTTAATTGCAAAATCCTTCTTTCTCTACGAGTTATTATAAAAACACGTTTTTCAGTATCGTGTTGGTCAAAGAATGCTATGTATATTAAGAAAAACTTAAACCCCACCCATACCTGGTCTGATCTAAATAGTAATGAAGGTTCCATTCGCTGGCAGACATAGGGGCGGAGCCTAATTGCAAAATCCACATTTACCATTTTAAACGTGTTTTAAGTTTCTAAGAATAAAAAAGTCATCACAATTGAGATGGGGTGGGTGGGCGGGGTTAATATTTTGCCTTTTTTCTTAATATATATAAAATTCTTTGAACGACACGATACTCAAAAACATGTTTTTAATTTCTTGTAAAGAAATAAGTATTTTGCAGTTAAGCTCCGCCCTCTTGGTTTACTGCGAATAAAAAAATCATCACAATTGAGACAGGGCGGGTGGGCGGCGTTAAATTTTTTCCTTTTGTTTTAATACATATGTGTAGACTTATTTCGACAACAAGAAACTTAAAATATGTCTAAAATGGAAAATTTGTATAAGGAAATATGGATTTTGCAATTAGACGCCGCTCTATAATTGCAAAATCTATATTTCCTTGCAACAACGTACCATTTTAACCATGTTTTAAGTTTCTTGTTGTGAAAAGATGGCTATGTATATTAAGAAAAAAAGACAAATGATAAGCCCCGCCCACCCACCCTGTCTCAATTCTGATGATATTTTTTTATTCGTCGTGAGCCTAGGGGCGGAGCTTAACTGCAAAATCTTTATTTCTTTACGAGAAATTAAAAACATCTTTTTGACAATCGTGTTAAGTATTCAATCAAAGAATACTATGCATATTAAGAAAAAAATAAGGCCAGAGATTAGGCCCCATCCATACTCGCCCTGATCTCAGTTCTCAATTGTGATGAATTTTTCATTCGTTGTCAGATCGAGGGGCGGGGCTTAACTGCATAATTGTCTACAAGATTTACCATTTAAAACATGTTTTAAGTTTCTTGTTCTGAAAAGACGACTACGTATAGGTATTAAGAAAAAAGATAAAATATAAGCCCCGCCCACCCGCCCTGTCTCAATTGTGATGATTTTTTTTTAACTGTCGACAGCCAAACGACCGATATTTAAATGCAAAATCGTTATTATTTCTCTAGAAAAAATTACCATGTAAGACTCATTTTTTTGAGTTTTGTGTTATTCAAAAAATACTATGTATATTAAGAAAAAATTAAATCCAAACATTAAACCCCACCCATACCTGGTCTGATCTAAATATTAATGAAGTCTTCATTCGTTGCTAGACCTAGGGGTCGAGCCTAATTGCAAAATCCACATTTCCTTACAAAAATTTACCATTTTAAACCTGTTTCGAGTTTCTAAGAATAAAAAAATCATCACACTTGAAATGGGGTGGGTGGGCGGGGTAAATATTTTGCCTTTTTTTCTTAATAAACATAAAATTCTTTTAACAACACGATACTCAAAAACATGTTTTTAATTTCTTCTAAAGAAATAAGTATTTTGCAGTTAAGCTCCGCCCTCTTGGTTCACTGCGAATAAAAAAATCATCACAATTGACACAGGGTGGGTGGGCGGGCTGACATTTTGTCTTTTTGTTTTAATATGTGTAGACTTCTTTTCACGACACGAACCTTAAAACATGTTTAAAATTGAAAATTTGTCCAAGGAAATATCGATTTTGCAATTAGGCTCTGCTCCATAATTGCAAAATCCATATTTCCTTGCAACAATGTACCATTTTAACCACGTTTTAAGTTGCTTGTTATGAAAAGATGGCTATGTATATTAAGAAAAAAAGACAAATTATAAGCCCCGCCCACCCACCCTGTCTCAATTCTGATGATTTTTTTTATTCGCCGTGAACCAAGAGGGCAGAGCTTAACTGCATAATACTTATTTCTTTACAAGAAATTAAAAATATGTTTTTGAGTATCGTGTTATAAAAAAAATACGACGTATATTTATAAAATCATCATAATTGAGATGGGGTGGGTGGGCGGGGTTTATGTTGTGCGTTTTTTTCTTAATATACATAGAATTTTTTGAACAACAGGATACTCAAAAACATGTTTTCAATTTCTTGCAAAGAAATAAGTATTTTGCAGTTAAGCTCCGCCCCCTTGCTTCACGGCGAATAAAAAAAATCATCACAATTGAGACAGGGCGGGTGGGCGGGCTTACATTTTGCCCTTTTGTTTTAGTATGTGTAGACTTCTTTTCAAGAAAGACTACACAATTAAGAAAAAAGGGTAAAATGTAAGCCCTTGTAGTTATTATACCTAATCTGTTTTTGAGACGAATAGCAATAAATCTTGTTGATTTAAACGTCGAGAACTATCTTTAACAATGCATAAACACTGACAGAAATTAAATTTAAATTGAATATAGTATATTTTGATTTAAATAAAGACAGGAACCTGTAAAATACGTTACTTTATCAGTGTGCGGATTTTCAAGCGATTCTGATATTTAACGTACAAAAAAGCGGAAAAACAGAAGCCAATGATGCTTTTTTTACGATATTTCCCGCCGCCCCCAAAACGCACAAAACCCCGCACCCAAGAACCCGATTTGCTCCAACTCGACTCTCTTTCACCGAAAACTCGTGGGACGACAAACCTAAAAATAAACATGGACGTAATTTATTTACGCATCAACATGCTTCCACCCGGAAGCCCCTGGTGTCCACCCAGCGCACCGCCAGCGGACCCATCTTGACTTTCCAGCTTTCCACATTCCAACCACTCCGATACGACGAAGTCATCAATCGTCGGAATCCAGGCGAATAAAATTCGTTATCGAGCCACTATTTAGATTTGGTTTATGGTGTTTATTTGGACCGAGTGAGTGCGAATGTGACAGTAACGAGTTTAACACTCTGTCCTCGCCTCGGTATAATTAGACATTATCACTGCGGCTTATTTCGGGGTGGTAAGTTGTATGAGTTAAAGGAGTTAGTTGTACGAGTACGAGTTTGAGGGAATCGCTTCCTGGTGGTTCGATTACCGGGATTTGGGTTGAGTGAAGTCATCGAAACTGGGGTATAAATATTTACGGTTGTTGGATTACGCGGTGGAGCGGCGAGACCGGAGGGTTGTTCGTTACGGGGGTGTTGGGGTACTCACGTTCATGTCGGCCGCGGCTTCCCTCACCAGGGCAGGGCTTCCAGACACCCGGAGCACATCGCCGAAGAGAACGCGTTCGGAAAACTGCGGCCAGCGATCTCATCGCGGCTAGCCATTCTAATATTAGCCGGCCGCCTTGACACCTTGCCAAAATTCGGTTTTATTAATACAGCGCATTCCTAGGCGTTGTTAATCTGGTGCAACGCTTACTTCATGATTCGGTTAGTCACTAGGGTTTCCTGTCAAGATGTCAGCCAGATCGAGCGGCATGCCCAAGCCCTCGCTCTCCCGGAGCAGGAGCGACGAGAGCGTCGTCGACAGCCGCTTCCCGCAGATCACCTGCATGGAGGACGTCATCACCAACTTCTTCAACCAGATCGTGCAGTACATGATCAAGGACATGGTCGTGGTGGAGCCGGTGCCGGAGCCGTACGCGGCGGACACCACGAGCGACGTGGTGAAGGACTACAAGGACCTGCGGCCGCAGGACCTGGTGGCGATGGAGGTGAAGTCGGCGTCGGGGTCGAAGGTCACGCTGACGAAGCGCTCCTCGAGCGGGATGAAGAGGGCGATGCCGCCGATCGCGGAGGAAGGGCCGATCGACAGCGAATCCGTATTTATCGACGGCGACGCTCTTTTCTATTTTCTTTCAGAGGACGTCCACAGATAGCTCGTCGCTGAAGGACATCGAGATGGACGAGGCGCGGCAAGTGAAGATTTTTTTCTTCAACGGGAACGTCTACGAAGGGAGGATTTACAAGCGGATTATGAATGGGAAAGGGAAGTTTACGTGGAGTGATGGCAGTGCTTATGAGGTAGTGGGTTTTTGCTTCCTGGTGGTGGTTAAGGAAAGTATAAATAATTAGACGATTTTCTTCAAGGGTGATTTTAAGGATGGTTTTCCAACTGGTAAGGGATGGATGTCTCTTCCGGATCTTAGTCGTTACGAAGGGGAGTTTTTTCACGGACTTTTTCATGGAAAAGGGTTTTTGAATATTGTTTCGACGCCGACGTTTTATAGTGGGGAGTGGAAGAATGGGAAAAAACATGGTGGGTGTTCTACCGTTTTATTATTTTCGTTATAATTTACTTTTTAAATATCTAACTCGTCACACCCAGTGTTAACACAAATTTGCCGCATTTCGCCAACACGTTGGACAACTCTTTAGAATTTTACGTTTTAAAATAATTGTTAACGTGTAAAAACCGAGACGTTTGTTAATTTATCATTATTATTATTATTATTATTCCCGCCATCGCCATTACTAAAAACAATTTGAGTAAAAACTTTCAAAGTTCTACTACAAGCAAAACATTTACAAAATTCATAGAAAGCATCCTTACTTTATTTTTATTTTTATCGTTCGGTTTCCCCTGAATTAAAAATAGACGATTAGATATAAAAAAGTGCTCAAAGCGCTCACAATTATAGAGTGTTGAAATACTTCTATAAACATTTTCCATTCCATCAAAAGTGTATTTCAAATAGTTTTTATTTCCCGAGCGTAAGCGAAGGAAGTATTGTAATCGAGTCCGTCAGTCAACTCTCTACTTTTATGTTTTCTCGACCTTTCATGATCCCTAACGTTCGAAGTTTTAATCAAAATACATTTACTTATACCCTCCAAAAAATTGATGACGTCAGCTCAAAATTTTGCCGAATAAATCCGATCTAAAATGTACAAAATATGATGAGTCTGTGCTTGTGATTTATCATTCCATTCATATTTTTGGATTTGCTTATACAGGGTGACTCAAAAAAAATTATGAATGCGAGAATTTATTTTATTGAATTAATCAGGAACTATACAAAATCGAATGCTTTGAAATCTTGGATATGTTTTAAGGTTCTCTTAGGCATGGTAAATTTTTGATCAAAATGTGTTTGTTCAATCCCCCTAAAAAATTGATGACGTCATCTCAAAATTTTGCTGAGTAAATCCTATCTAAAATGTGATCAGTCCATACTTGTAATTTATAATTGCGTTTATATTTTTTAAATTTGCTTATACAGCGTAACACAAAAAAATTATCACGGAGTCAATATATCATATTGATTAAATCAAGAATTGCAAAACTGAATACATACTTTCAAATCTTGCAGATGTTTTAAAGTTATTGTAAACATGTAATCAAATATATCTGTTTATTCCCCCTAAGTTTTGATGACGTCATCTCAAAATTTTGCCGAATAAATTCTAGCCAAAATGTAGTATTTGATAAGATAAGACTGATTTTGGCACATGGCATACCCTCTAAAAAAACTAAAGGGTGGGTGGGCGGGGCTAGTACTTGTTAAGATAAGACTTATTCTGGCAGATGACATATCCTTTGAGAAAATCGGGAGCGGGTGGGCGGGGCTAGTCCTTGTTAAGATAAGATTTAGTTTGGCAGTTGACAACCTCTGAGAAAATATGGGGCGGGTGGGCGGAGCTAGTACTTGTTAAGATAAGACTTATTTTGGCAGATGACATATATTCTGAGAAAATAGGGGCCGGGTGGGCAGGGCTAGTACTTTCTAAGATAAGACTTGTTTTATCAAATAACATACCCTCTGAGAAAATAGAGAGCGGATGGGTGGGGCTAGTAGTTTCTAAGATAAGACTGATTTTGCCTCGATTATAACCTGGTAAAAACTTGTTGAATTTAAAAGGTATTAAATTGCAAATTTCCATAATAACGAGTTAAATTCCTAAATCTGATTTGTGTTTATTTTTTCTGTTTCATTCTACTTCACAAGCGAGGGAAGTTTTGTTGAAACATCTTTCGACCAATGTTTTTAAGAATGTCAAACCTTCTCGAGGGTCCCAACTGTCTTTTTTAAAAATGTAAAACCTTCTCAGGGCCCCAATGTATTTTTTTAAGAATATGTAAAACCTTTTCGGGGGTCCCAATTGTCCTTTTTTAAAGAAGGCGAAACCTTCACGAGGACTCCAAGTGTCTTTTTTTAAGAGTATTAAACCTTCTCAGGGGTCCCATCTGTCTTTTTTAAAAATGTCAAACCTTCTCCGGGGGGCCAAATATCTTTTTTTAATGTGAAACCTCCTCGGGTGTCCTAACAGTTTTTTTTTTTAATGTAAAACCTTCTCGGGGGCCCCAAATGTTATTTTTAATCTGAAACCTTCTCGGGGGTCCCAACTGTCTTTTTTTACTGAAACCTTAATATTTTTTAGATTGGCTTATACGGGGTGTCTCAAAAAAATTAATGACTGAGTCAATATATTATATTGATTAAATCAAGAATTGCAAAACTGAATACTTTGAAATCTTACAGACGTTTTAAAGTTATTGTAAGCATGTAACCAAATATATCTGTTTATTCACCCCCAAAAAAATTGATGACGTCATCGCAAAATTTTGCCGAATAAATTCTACCCAAAATGTGCAAAATATGATGAGTTTTTACTTGTGATTTATCACTGCATTCATATTTTTTAGATTTGCCCTCTATTTTCTCAGAGGATATGGCATCTGCGAAAATAAGTCTTATCTTAGTAAGTACTAGCCCCACCCACCCACCCCCTATTTTCTCAGGGATATGTCATCTGCCAAAATAAGTCTTATCTTAGCAAGGACTATCCCCGCCCACCCGCCCTTTATTTTCTTAAAGGGTACGGCGTTTGCCAAAATCTGTCTTATCTTAGAAAATACTAGCATTTTGCCAAATGACATACCTTTTAAGAAAATAGAGGGCGGGTGGGCGGGGCTAGTCCTTGCTAAGATAAGACTTATTTTGGCAGATGACATCCTTTGAGAAAATATGGGGCGGGTGGGCGGGGCTAGTCCTTGCTAAGATGAGACTTAGTTTGGCAGATGACATCCTCTGAGAAAATATGGGGCGGGTGGGCGGGGCTAGTACTTGTTAAGATAATACTTATTTTGGCAGATGACATATCCTCTGAGAAAATAGGGGGTCGGTGTGCGGGGCTAGTCCTTGCTAAGATAAGACTGATTTTGCCTCTATTATAATCTTGTAAAAACTTGTTGAATTTAAAAGGTATTAAATTGCAAATTTCCATAATAACGAGTTAAATTTCTAAATCTGATTGGGTGTTTATTTTTAATGTTTCATTCTGTTTCACAAGCTAGGGAAGTTTAGTTGAAACATCTTTCGACCAATTTTTTTAAGAATGTGAAACCTTGTCGAGTGTTCCAGCTGCCTTTTTTAAAAATGTAAAACCTTCTCAGGGCCCCAATGTATTTTTTAAAGAATATGTGAAACCTTCTCGGGGGTCGCAATTGTCCTTTTTTAAAGAAGGCGAAACCTTCTCGAGGACTCCAAGTGTCTTTTTTTTAAGAGTATTAAATCTTCTTAGGGGTCCCATCTGTCTTTTTTAAAAATGTCAAACCTTCTCCGGGGCGCCAAATGTCTTTTTTTTAATGTGAAACCTCGGGTGTCCCAACTGTTATTTTTTAATGTAAAACCTTCTCGGGGGACCCAAATGTTTTTTTTTTAATTTGAAATCTTCTCGGGGGTCCTAACCAGCCTTTTTTTTACTGAACGTGAAACCTTAATATTTTTTAGATTTGCTTATACGGGGTGTCTCAAAAAAATTAATGACTGAGTCAATATATTATATTGAATAAATCAAGAATTGCAAAAATGAATAAATACCTTGAAATCTTGCAGACGTTTTGAGGTTATTGTGAGCATGTAACCAAATATATGTTTATTCCTCCCAAGAAATTGGTGACGTCATCTCAAAATTTTGCCGAATAAATTCTACCCAAAAAAATGTGCAAAATATGATGAGTTTTTACTTGTGATTTATCACTGCATTCATATTTTTTAGATTTGCCCTCTATTTTCTCAGAGGATATGTCATCTGCCAAAATAAGTTTTATCTTAGCAAGAACTAGCCCCGCCCACCCGCCCCCTATTTTCTCAAAGAATATGTCATCTGCCAACATAACTCTTATCTTAGTAACTACTAGCCCCACCCACCCACCCCATATTTTCTCAGAGAATATGTCATCTGCCAACATAACTCTTATCTTAGCAAGTACCAGCCCCACCCACCGACCTTCTATTTTTTTAGAGAATATGTCATCTGCCAACATAACTCTTATCTTAGTAAGTACTAGCCCCACCCACCCACCCCATATTTTCTCAGAGAATATGTCATCTGCCAACATAACTCTTATCTTAGTAAGTACTAGCCCCACCCACCCACCCCATATTTTCTCAGAGAATATGTCATCTGCCAACATAACTCTTATCTTAGTAAGTACTAAGCCCCACCCACCCACCCCATATTTTCTCAGAGAATATGTCATCTGCCAACATAACTCTTATCTTAGCAAGTACCAGCCCCACCCACCCACCTTCTATTTTCTCAGAGAATATGTCATCTGCCAACATAACTCTTATCTTAGCAAGTACTAGCCCCACCCACCCACTCCATATTTTCTCAGAGAATATGTCATCTGCCAAAATAAGTCTTATCTTAGCAAGAACTAGCCCCGCGCACCCGCCCCGTATTTTCTCAAAGAATATGTCATCTGCCAACATAACTCTTATCTTAGTAAGTACTAGCCCCACCCATCCACCCCATATTTTCTCAGAGAATATGTCATCTGCCAACATAACTCTTATCTTAGTAAGTACTAGCCCCACCCACCCACCCCATATTTTCTCAGAGAATATGTCATCTGCCAACATGACTCTTATTTTAGCAAGTACCAGCCCCGCGCACCCGCCCCGTATTTTCTCAAAGAATATGTCATCTGCCAACATAACTCTTATCTTAGCAAGTACTAGCCCCACCCATCCACCCCATATTTTCTCAGAGAATATGTCATCTGCCAACATAACTCTTATCTTAGCAAGTACCAACCCCACCCACCCACCCCCTATTTTCTCAGAGAATATGTCATCTGCTAATATAACTCTTATTTTAGTTAGTACTAGCCGACATATCCTCTGAGAAAATAGAGGGCGGCTAGTACTTGCTAAGGTAAGACTGTTTGTGTCTCTATCAATCTTGTAAAAACTTGTTAAATTTAAAAGGTGTTAAATTGCAAATTTGAATAATAACGAGACAACGTGTTTAATTTTATCTTTCATTCTACTTCAGGAGCGAGGGAATTTTTGTTGAAACAACTTTTGACCAATTTTTAGATTTGCTTATGCAGGGTGACTCAAAAAAATAAACAAATCAGTCAATTTATTTTACTGAATACACGTTGGTAAGTAGAGAGAAATAAGCTCCTCCGTAGTCTAGTGGTAAGGGCATCCGTCTGGCAAGCGGTAAACGTGTGATTCGATTCCCACCGAAAAGGCAACATTTTTCTTGGCTTACCTACATTGCCGAATAAATTCTACCCAAAATGTGCAAAATGTGATGAGTTTAACTTGTTGTGATTTATCATTATTGCGTTCATATCTTTTAGTTTTGCTTATACAGGCGGCCCAAAAAAAATGAATAAGTCAATTTATTGTATTGATTAAATCAGGAATGATTCACTCCATTTTCCCAGAAAATTTTGAGAATATGATACTGTTGTTTTTCAATTTACATTTTACACTAAATAAAATAAGTCAGTGAAATAGAGAAAGGAGGTGGAGCACCCCTTCTTCGTCCCAGTGACTACTCTTAATATTGTTCAGTCTTATCTTAGCATGTTTTAGAACCGCCCACCCGCCCTCTACTTTCTTAAAGGGTACGTCATTTACCAAAATCAATCCTATCTTAGCAGATATTAGGCCCGCCCACACATGTTCTCATTCTAACGATTTTATCTCTCTTCAGTTGAGATCCACGCTTCATTCGGACTTGACAAAATGAATCACTGAAATGAGGGCGGGGTGGGTGGGCGTGGTGGTCATATGTTCTTGTGTAAAGTGAGAATGGGAACTATAGAACGTAGGCTGTTAAAAAAAACGTTAATTCTATTTTTTGTTATACTTACTACTTATTTGCTATAACATTTTTTTTGTGGGCGGGGCTAAACTTAACTTTTTCCAAGGGAATCTTTTATAAGCAAGTAATAACCCCGCCCACCCACCCCCTCTTCATTCTAGTGATTACCTTAATATTATTCAGTCATTTACCAAAACAGTCTTATTTTAACAAATACTAGCTCCGCCTACTAGGGGTATGTAATTTGCCACAATCAGTCTTATCTTAGCAAGTGTTACACTCGACCAATTTTTTTTTATCGTTCAGTTTCCCCAGAACTAAAAATAGACGATTAGATATAAAAAAGTGCTCAAAGTGCTACCAGTTATAGAGTGTTGAAATGTTCTGTAAACATTTTCCATTCCATCAAGTGTATTTCAAATAGTTTTTTTTAATTCTAAACCTTTAAAATTTTTCGTGAAAATAAATTCACACTAGAAAAAAATGTACGAGAATTTTATCAGGCCAGGGTTGGTTGCTCTACGAGCCCGAAGACTGGTACGAGGGCGGCTGGGAGAACGACTTAAAGGAGGGTTTCGGCTTGCGCTGCTACAAAGACGGCTCCAAATACCGCGGCTTCTGGCACCAAGGCTTCTACGAAGGCAACGGAATAATGATCTGGGACAACAACGACGTAAGCCTGAGTCCCTCTCGTCTCCCATTCCTGTTTCTAGTATTACAAGGGCGAGTGGAAAGCCGGCGCGATGCACGGCCACGGCGAGTACATCTGGCGCGCTTTCTACAACGACACCTTCGCCTTCCCCATCCAGAACATCTACAGAGGCTTCTGGGAGCGTGGGAAGCGCTCCGGTGAAGGCACCATGACTTTCGGCGACGACACTGGAATGAAACTCGTGGGAGAGTGGGACCAAGACTTCAAGCACGGTTCCGGGTACTTGATCTGTGGCAACGGGAAAGTCCTGGAGCACCCAGCGTTGTTCCAATACGACAAACCCATGCACATCATGAAGGAAGTCTCCGCGTGGTCCATCAGGAGCACCCGCTTGTTGAAAAGTCTAGAAATCCCGATTTTCACCGCCCCGCAGTACGTGAACGTCGGGTTCTACGTGGACCAAGTCCTGGAAGCAGTGGGTAGCATCAACGTGGACAAGTTCAAGGCGTTGAAGACGTTCGAGGAGCGGTGCGTCCGATACACCCTCATCAGGAACCTGGTGCAGCTCAAGGAGCTGTACAAAGAGTACGCCAGCTTGGCTGCCAAGACACAACTAACCTTCGAACCGGTTTTGATCCGCTTGTTCCTGTGGCAGTTCTACAAAGACAGAGATATCTGGAAGCGCGGGATCTCGTTAGCAGAAACCGACCGAATCCTCACCGATAACCCCGACAGCTGTCTGGAGTCCGTCCACGACCCCTTCGAACCCATTTACTTCTGGCAGTTCCTCATGTCTCTAATCGGAGTCGCGCTCACCACCTACTCCCTCGACGAAATCGAAGAAATTGAAGACAGCTCCGTCCAAGGGGTCTGCGCTTCCGTCATCAAAAAGTTCTTCGACGAAGTCATTTTCACGAAACTTGGAGTAAACCACCAGAGTAAGTACAGGTTCATCCGACTACAAGTAACCATAATCTTTTGAGGTGGCCTCTTCCTCAACTACTTGGATCTGGCGCCCATCAAAGCCGTCTACGCTCTGTACCAAAAGGTCGGAGAGCCGCATTCCGCACGCACTTTCCTGCGGGCGTCGTGTACGAAGAAGGGCGAAACTCCGCTGCTCTGTCACCTGGAGCTCTTTTTCCAAAAGACGACTCCGCCGTTTGGGACCAACCTAGTGCCCCTCGACCAAGACGTCTTGTTCGAAAATCGTAAGTAGGTTTTCGCGGGTTACGTGTTACTGAAGGCTTTGGAGGTGGGCACCTGGACGAGGAGTTCCGGCGCAACTGGACGAACCTCTTCGACTTCCGCCACCTGGGGCCAAGGAATATTTTACGGGGTTTGGCACAGGCGTGTCCGCTGATCATGGACGAGGGTCTCGTCGTCAATATTGACTACCCGTTGACGTTCCTCGAGTTTTATGAAACTCTTCTGATTTGTATCTTCATGGTTTTGGAACTGGAGATGAAGAAGGAGCAGAGGATTTTGATGGAACAGTTGCCACCAATTGTGTCGGTGGTGTCGGTGGCGCCTTCGAAAAGCAGGAGCGCGAAGACCGTCGAGTCGGACAAGAAGGTTGCGAAGAAAGGGAAAAAGGAAGACAAGGAAAAGACAAAGAAGAAGAAAAAGAAAGCGTGAAGTTTCTAGTTTTTTGGTTCAATCTAGTTTTGAGTTGTAACGTGGTAATAAAAGTTATGTTTTACCTTATGTTTTATCATTGTTTAAGTATATTATAGCTGGACAACCTAATACAAATTTTTCGCCAACGCGCATTTTCACTACAGTGAGCCAACGTATTAGGTTTATTTTACTCTACATCAGATGGCGCCATCAAACATTAGCAAAGGCAAACACCCTTCACTCTGCTCTTATACGAGGAGTTATCCATAAATCCATAATTAACATTGTTCCGTAAACAGTAATGTGTATAAACATATATGTACAAAATATGAAAATATACTTGACATAAAAAATATGAAGCAACGCGTTGTAACGTGATAAGAAAGAATTGAATTTAAATCAATTTGACGCATATTTTTATTTGACTATATCTGAAGACTGACAGAAACTTTCCAAGGGTTTTTAAACTGGTATAATTGTTTAGTTTTACAAGATTAAAGTAAAACAAGATTTTAAGTAAAATTTAGATTCGTGGTGTTACAAAAATATTAACACAAAATGAAAATATATATTCAAAGTAAATAACAGAACAACATAAACTTTCGGTGTTAACATTACAAATAATTACAACACAGAAAAAAACCGCATTAAGAACTTAAGAGGCATGTTTGTAATATCGAGTTGTTAAAGGCTGCTTTGAAGACTGTTTGTTTCTATGAAAAACAATTGCTGTTATCCGACGTTTTGGTAGATTTTGTTCCAAAAATACGAGATAACTAATTGTTTCTTGAACAAGTTTCCGTAACTTCTAAAATTTAAAAAGGATACGCCGTTCTGCTGTAATAAAATCTAGAATAAGGTCAAAATCACACTAATATTACATCTGATTTTGTTAACCACATGAATATAATTTACATTAAAATAAGTTACAGACATTGTTTGAAATGTTTATTATAGTTCGAAAACAAGATAAAATAAATAAATAAATAAATAAATAAAATGTGCAGTGTATAAACTTCAGAATTTTAGTATAAAAATAATCATGTTTGAGGCTTTATTTGTCTATTCGATTTTATTGGGTGTATTGGGCCCCTCTCGGGTGTTATATCCCGATATTTGTCAGCGTTTCCAAAATTTTCTTCTTTGCACAGGTCAACTAATTTTTCGTAAACCGAATTTTAAAATTTTTGTTATTGTATTTTTTACTTTTTAATTTTCTAAGGCATGAAAAAATCCCATATAGGTTTCTATGAATTTATTTATTTTTTGGCTTGTCGATTTGTCGATTTTTCAACTTTAAATGTCTCAATTTTTCAATATTTCAATTTTGGGCTTTTCCGATTCTTCCATTCTTCAAATTTTCTGTTTCTCGATTTTTTTATTTTTCGATTTCTCAATCTTTCGGTGTTTCAATGACACAATTTCTCAATTTTTGTCCTCTTCAATTTTACGGTTTTTAAATATTTCAATTTTTCGACTTTTCGATTTTTGAATTGATGGATTTTTTTTGATTTCTCGATTTTTTACTTTTTAGATCTTCAATTTACTGTAAACTTTAGATTTTTCAATTCTGCGACTATTTAATGCTTCGATTTCTCAATCGTTGAAAGTTTCGATGTTTTAATATTTCATTTTTTAAAATTCTAGGTTTTTCGATATCTCGAATTTTCAATTCTTCTATATTTCAATTTTTCGATTTTTTGAATTTTAATTTTCGATTTTCCAGTTTTTCTTTTCTAAAATTTTTCGATTATTCAATTTTTTAATTTCTCAATTTATGGAATTCAGATGTTTCGTTGTTTTGATTGTTCAATTTCTCAATTTTTCAATTTTTAACTTTCCTTTTCGGCTTCCGACTTAATTTCTCGATCCTCCGATTTTTCGAAGTCTCAGTTTTTGAATTTTTCGATGTTTCGATTTTTGAATTTCTCGGTTTTTCGATTTTTTTCTTTTGAGCTTTTCAATTTCTGGATTTTCCAATTTTTCAATGTCCTGATTTATCAATTTTTCAAATTGAATTGGATTTCTCGATTCTTCAATTTTGCGATATTTTAATTATTCAATGTTTTAAATTTTAGATTTTTCGATTTCTCGACTTTTCAGTTCTTCAGTATTTAAATTTTTCAATTTTTCAAATTTTTGCGTTAAATTTTCAGTTTTCTGATTTCTCAATTAATCTATTGTTGATTTTCCCACTTCTCAAAGTTTCGATTTTTCAGTTGTTCAATTCTTCGACTTTTCGACTTCGCTTTATTGGTTTTTCGATTTCTCAATTTTTTGGATATTTCTTTCAGTCTTGATATTTTTCAATACTTCGATTCTTTGATTTTTCGACTTTTTTTTATTTTTGGATTTTCAGTTTTTTGTTTATTATACTTTAGATTTTTCAATTTTTCGATTGTTTTATACTTCAATTTCTCAATTTTTCAACTTTTCCATATTTTAATTCTTCAAATTTCCGAATTTTTAAATTTTTTGAGATCTCAATTTATTGAGATTCGGATGTTTCGATGTTTTGATTATTCAAACTCTCGCTTTATCAATTTTTCCATATTTATGTTTTCGATTTTTCGATTTTGGCCTATTTCGGTTTCTCAATTTTTTGATTTTTCGACTCCTCGTTTTTTTTGTCTTTTGATTTTTCGATTTGTTGGTTTTTCGATTTTTTGCTTTTCGGTTTCTCGATTTTTCAATGTTTCGATTTTTGATTTATCCGATTTTTCAATTTTCCAATTTTTTAAATCTTCGACTTTTCGATTCGTTGATTTTTCAGTTTTTCGTTTTTAAATTTTAGATTTTCGAATTTTTATTTTTTTAATTTTTTGATGTTTGGATTTCTCCATTTTCAGTTTTAGGATATTTTAACTTTTCAATGTTTTAAATTTTAGATTTTTCGATTTTTCAGTTCTTCAATGTTTTTTATTTTTCAAATTTTGACGTTTCTGAATTTTTAGTTTTCGGATTTCTCAATTAATCTATTTTTTTATATTACCATTTCTCCACTTCCTAAAGTTTCGATTTTTCAGTTCTTCAGTTCTTTAATTTTTCGATTATTCAGGTTTTCGATTTTTCGATTTTTTAGGTTTGCGATTTTTCGACTCTGCTTTTTGGACTTTTCTGTTTCTCAATTTTTTAATTTCCTAATTTTTGGATATTTCGTTCAATTTTGTGATTTTTCAGTTTTTCGATTTCTCAATTTTAAATTTTCAATTTTTAAATTATTATTTTTTTCGATTTTTTGAGTTTTCAGTTCTTATATATTTCAATTTTTCAATTTTCGGAATTTTTAAATTTTCGATTGTCCAATTTTGTTTTATTTTTCGATTTTTCAATTTTTCGTAAGGTACCACCACTTCTTAGTGAGGCGAGTGAGATGTAAAATATATATTCATTCTTTTCTACATGGGAAAGTGCTTGTCCGTATAGGTTGTCCAACTATAATATACTTAAACAATGGTTTTACTCTGGTTGTCGACGGACAGACGACGACGGACTGACGGAAACGGGAAAGTGAGAATTCGTCACAGTTTAAAAATATTTATTATACTGGGTTGATAATACAAAAGCTACAGACGCATTGGTTCATTTTCGCACCAATGGTTCCGTTTCTCGCCACAGCCACTCCTTGGTCTCCGCGTGTCCTTGCTTCTCCAAAATCGGACCAATCAAATCCCTGCACTGCTGGTGGTACGCATTAAGATAAGTCAGCTCCTTATCAGTCAATAAATCAACCAAAACAAGTTTCCTTTGTTTCGGAGCAAACGTGATCGTTTCAAAGGTTAGAAAACCTCTGTCGTTGAAATTATGAGGGGGCTTAGCCTCCACTATCTCAACTATGTCCTCCAAACGGATCCCAAATTTTCCGTCCTCGTAGTAACCGGGTTCGTTCGACACGAACATCCCGGCTTCCAGGCCGGGATCGTCGGCGATGGGGCGCCACGAAATCCCCATGGGTCCCTCGTGGACGTTCAAATACGAACCTATTCCATGGCCAGTCCCGTGTGCGTAGTCCAGCCCGACTTCCCACAGGAACTCTCTGGCGAAGGAGTCCAGACAATTCCCCTTGATTTTCGACGGGAAAATCGACGTCGCCAGTTTAATCTGGCCTTTGAGGACCCTCGTAAAGCACTCTTTTTCGTACTGTGTGGGGGTACCAAAATGGAAAGTACGCGTGACGTCAGTGGTACCATCTTTATACTGACCACCAGAGTCGCAAAGGTACAACGTGTCAGTAGTTATGGGGACGTCAGTCGACGGTTGCGGCTGGTAGTGGATTATGGCACCATGGGGCCCCACCGAACTAATAGTCGGGAAGCTCGCCCCCACAAAATCGGCCTGCTGAGCCCGGAACTCGTCCAGTTTTTTCGCCCCCGAGATTTCTGTAATGTTGCCATCTTTGACGTGTTTTTCCAACCAGGAGAAGTAGCAACACAAAGCAGCGCCATCTTTCAAGTGGGAGTTCCTCATACCGTTGATTTCAGTGGGGTTTTTCACCGCTTTCATCAGAGGGACTGGGGTGATTTCAGCCAGTAGGGACTTAGCAGGGATGAGACTAGTTAAAGCGTAGCTCGCGTTTTCGGAAAACCAAGCGAAACCCTCGATTTTCAAACTGTGCTGTTTTAAATAAGCCACGATTTCGTCGTAGGGCTTAATCTCGTACTTCTCCCCCGCTTCTTTGGTTAGGTGTTGTTTAACTTCGTCGCTGCTTTGCTTGGGGTTCAGGAAAACCGTAAACGAGTCCTCGTGGATGACTACGTATGAAAAAAATACGGGGTTGTAGGCGATATCGGAGCCCCTCAGGTTCAACATCCAGGCGATTTCATCCAGAGCGGTTAGCACCAAAAATTGCGCCTTCTTGTCTTTCATTTGCGCTCTTACAGACAAAAGCTTCTCCTTGACTGTTTTCCCGGTAAACTCCAAACCCAGCGGGTTTACAGGATTGGTGGGTCTTGCAGGTCTGTCATTCCATAGAATGTCAACCAGATTTTGATTGACTGGAATGAGTTTACACCCAGCTGCTTCCAGCTGGGTTTGCAAAGGCATCCACATGTTGTACGTGTAGATGCTAGGGTCAACCCCCACGCGTGACCCAGAGGGAAGATTTTTGCTCAACCAGCCTCCTTGAGTAGGGGTTGAAGGAACTCCTTCCTTCATCAGAGTCCAATTGGAATCCATTTGCTCAGACGCTTGTAAAAAGTAGCGCCCATCTGTCCACAAAAGAGCGTCCTTTTCAGTCACAATAGCAGTCCCAGCTGAACCTGTGAAGCCTGAAATGAAGGCTCTGAACATGTCACAGTCAGCCAGGTATTCACTGTTATGGGCATCGTTCGAAGGGACTATGTAAGCGCTTATAGTTTCAGTCACATATTGGGGGTTTTGCATGAGAGCGCGCAGCTGCTTCAAAAGGTTCGTAGTGTGTTTTGGGGCCATTTTCGTGGGGTCCTAACCTACAACTAGAGTCAAAATTTGGGCGTAATTTTCAACTTAGTGTAAAATGCTTACCAACGATTCACATTCCACTAATCAAGCGACGAAATGACTGCAAATGACCGATGAAACTGGTTTTCTGGGTTTTCTGGGGCTTTGTTCTTACAGATCGTGACGTGTTGGAACTGTCAATTGTCAAACTTGACAAGTGCAGAGATCCCAATCCCGTCCCTTTTATCACCACTCTTATCGCATGTCCACGAACTGATAACCGCTATCTCCGAATTTGATCAAATCTCTACTATTTAACCGGGATTAGGTGCGGATAAATTTCAAACCTCGGTAATTTTCGCGTGGCTACGTTGCCACCCCTGCTTGTCACTGTCACTTTCGTAAATATTTGCACAGTGGGTCGGTGTGTTACTGGGGGACTTTTTCATCGAAAAGTGTGTGAAATAGTGCTTGAAAATGTGCAAATCGCTGATTTTGTTCCTATTGAACAGTATCGAGTTTCATATATGCGTTTTAAACGAAAAATCGTCGATTAAAAAAAGGACTATGTCAATAATGGATCATCAGTGACATAACACAATCACACTTCCCCATATATCTTAACACACATACACAAAAAGCAATAAAATCTAATGGCAACTTCATTAAAAAGAAATCGTTCGCGACGACGCATTGCAGCAATAACATTTTTATCAAACATATCTCTGGACGGCAGTTACAGAGACACCAGATTATCGTTACTGCCCCGCAACGGGGCTATCATAAAAAATTCGGCGCTCCTGGCAGCCACCGACGAGCCGCTGGCCGAGGAGTCGGACGGTCCGGACGACTGCTTCAGCGACACGGACCACTCGAGGGACAAAATCGTCAACCCCAAGAAAAAACTGCAGAAGTCCAAGCCGCACAATGTCGACGGACATTCCTTGAGCTCGGACTCGGAGAGCGTCATTACCCCCATTAAAACGAGCCTCGTGGAATCCGCCAAAAATAAAGAGCGGTAAGAGGATTTGTTTGATCACTTGATTTACAACACAGTTATTGTTTTCTTTATCTTGGATTTACGTCTTTTGGTACTTGAAACCGCGCTAAGTGCTGATAATATAGTTAATATCTGTTTGTTTGACCTTGGGGGATAAAAACAAATGCGTTGATGTCAAGTTTATTTGCGGTGGACAAAGATTTTACGTCCGCGGAGACTAAATAATATGAAATATAACATAAATATGCACGAATAAGCGAAACGAGTGGGCGTTGAGCGAAGGACCGCCCACTGGTGAGCGCGACCAATTAGCCGGCGCCACAGCGGCGCTTCAAACGATGCACTGAGGAAGAGCGTGACGAAACACTTGACCAGAGTTTCAAGCACCCATTGATTTGGTTTTTCTGTTGATTAAAAATTTCCATCACAACGCAAGGACGGTTTTTTCCTGACCCAAATATGAATGAGTGTTACACTTTTATTGATAAATAAAAATGTTTCCAGGATTAGCGAGACTGCCAAAATCCGGCAGTCTTTTCCCAAGCGAATCCACCACCAGGGTTCCGTTGGGAGCGACTCCGACAGGCACCACTATGGTAGCAGTTCGGAGAGTTTGGGGCCCCCTGTGGCTCGGTGTAAAACCAGCCCCGCGCCGCCCTCAATCCCAGAATCGTCGTCTTCGAAGGAGATCAAGTTCCTCAAAACGGCGAAAAATTATCGTTTCAAAGACGAACGAATCGTCATGGTGACGTCACGTTATATCCCGTTTATGGTATGCTCCATCATACCATACAAGAAAAATATCAGGTGGGTGAGTAAACCAAGGGTGACCCTTTTTAACTGGTGGGTTTAGGAGCGACGCCAAACGGGAATCCGGAAGGAAGAGAACGACGTCGGGAACTCGGCCGTTGTCTTCGGCCACCGATGGCCTGGATCCGTTCGACTCCCTAGGGATCGAGAAGGGTCCAGATGGACAGGTGGGGGCGATTTGTTGGGGCGACAAACATTGATTGATTTTTGGGTTGCAGGAATTTTCCTATGGGTATTTATTGGTACCGACGAAACCGGTGAAGGAATTTCGCGAAAAGCGACTTAACACGATTGACGATCCGACGGAAACGGGACACGTCACCTTTAATGTGGCGAAGCGGCCACATCATGTTTTTGCAAGGTAACGTGGATTAGATTTGCGAATATGCCAGTCTTACGTGAGCAGAATCGGTAAAAGTTTGAGGGGTGGGTTTTATTGATGAGATGTAAGACAGAGGGGTGACATCAATATTGGGGAAATTTAAGGTTAAAGAAATTATGTTGGCAACACAACGCGATAGCGCGATAGTTTGCGATCAAATAATTGCCATTATTTTAAAAATGAATTTCATGGTTTCCAAAAAACGCGATTTGTGTTAAGTTTTCGGAAATGTCTTCACGGGGCACGAAAACCTTGACAAAACTCAAACTGCGACCGAAAACGAAGTAGTTGGCTTTGTCTGTCAAGCTTCGAGTGGCACTACTGCGCACTGTGACGTCATCGATCAACATAACCTAACTAATTGCTTTGCTGGTGTTTAAATACTAGAATTAAAAAGTGTAGGTGTAATTTCATCAAGAAAACTCACACTGGGTAATTTTTATCGGTTTGAGTGACACAGGGACTGGCTTACACAACGTTATCATCCACTCTGTTCATCATACCATTTAATTTGCAGGACAAAAGTTTTAACCTGGCAACCAGACTACAAATGGTAAACAAAATTTTTGCTTCGATTATGAGAATGCACTAACAAATGTAGTTTTTTTTATCATGTTTGCTAACAACTTCGTGCTTCATAGGTCTAGAGTGTAGCTTTTGAAATAAAATCGTTTTGGTTCACTCCCCCACGCACCCCTAAACCGAAACGATTTTACCTGAAACCTTTCGATGAAAGTGGTTTTTAAGTGTCTATTTCGGTCGTAGGTCCTTTTCGTACGACCAGGCCAGCATACGGGCCAGTTCGCACGTGACGGCGGCGAGCCCGCCCCCGGACGCCGTCGACGACACGTCACTAACCTCCCTAATTTATCACCCCAATTTGCTAGACGACCCGGAGCTGATCGCCGGGAAGCACCGAACGTTGCTGACTTTCACGTCGTATATGACGTCGGTGATCGACTACGTGAGGCCCTCTGACTTGAAAAAGGAAATCAACGACAAGTTCAGGGAGAAGTTTCCTCACATCCAGCTCACGTTGAGCAAACTTCGAAGGTAAAGCGTGTGGGGGTCGATTTTCGTGACTTAAGTTTATGTTGTAGTTTGAAGCGCGAGATGCGCAAAATCGCCAAAACCGAATGTAACATTGATCTGGTGACCGTAGCTCAAGCGTACGTGTACTTTGAGAAATTGATATTGCGCGGACTTATTAATAAACAAAACAGGAAGCTGTGCGCTGGCGCAAGTTTGATTTTGTCGGCGAAGCTGAACGACGTTAAAGGAGATGGGCTGAAGACGCTTCTGGAGAAAACCGAAAACACATTCCGTCTGAACAGGAAAGAGCTTGTGGCGGCCGAATTCGCTGTTTTGGTAGCATTGGAGTTCGGGCTTCATGTACCAACGTGGGAGATTTTCCCGCACTATCAGAGATTGTTATATGAATCTTGACCGATGCTTTGTAACCTCTTCAGTTCGATTGCATGCTCAAGATATTTTCATTTTTAATAATCTTGCCATTCGGAAGTACAAATTGTCAATCTCGTGTACTTAATTTAGACGTCTTACTTAAGTAGGGTAGGCGTGGCTGCGCTAGACAGAAAGGTGGCTGTGATTGGTCTTGAGAGGTTCCACCTTTCGCACTCAAAGGTCCTAAGACCAGGTGATAAAAAATGGTACTTGAAAAGTTTACTTAATTTAGTCGGTGTGTTCCTTGTTTTTTTTGATATATTGTTAATTTTGGTTTGTTGTATTTTTCCATGAGATTTTGTAACTAAACTTTCTTACTCAACGCTTAATAGGTGTAATTTTAGTGTGCATTTCCGTGCCATTAATAAAATCTTGTGGACGTAGTTCCCGGTTTTATGTGCTCCTCTCACCAGAGAACATAGAGAAGCGTCATAGTTTAAACTAAATGAAGGTTGAGGACTCCTCGACTTATGTTGGCAACAGTGTTTGTTTCTAACTAGGAAAGTTAACTAGAAAAAATGTCATAATATTTTTGACACTAGATTTACCAGAATATTACAAGCTGCTTACTGTGTCCTTCACTTTAATTCAGGTCACACGAATTTCAGTTCGTCGTCTGAGAACTTGTTTGATCTACAGACCAGAGCGCACTCAAGCCAATGTCGACTCTAAGCGTTCGGTAGTTTGGGGACTTTTCAGTTTACTCCTATTTATTTTTCAATTTTTGGATTTTACAATTTCTCAATTTTTCAATTTCTCGGTTTTCAGTTTTTCTCTTCAATTTTACGATTTTTAAATATTTCGATTTATCAATTTTTGACTTTTATAAACTCTTTATTTGTCGATTTTTCAATTAATGTTTTTCGATTTCTCAATTTTTCAATTTTTTCAAGTTTCGATTTTTCAACTTCACTTTTTTGATTTTTCGATTTTTCAATTTTTTAATTTCTCAGTTTTGGGATTTTTCAGTTTACTTATTATTCAATTTTTCGATTTCTCAATTTTTCCGTTCTTTAGATTCTCAGTTTTTGGATATTTGATTTTTGGGATTTTTCAGTTTTTCTTTCATTTTTCAGTTTTTCGATATTTCAGTTTTGGGATTTTTCAATATTTCTGTTCTTCGACTTTTCCATTTTTGACTTCTGGATTTTTCGATGTGTCGGCTTTTTACTTTTTCCATTTTTAAATTTTAGATTTCTCAGTTTTTTGATATTTTAATTTTTCAGTATTTAAAATTTTCGAATTTTTGATTTCTCGATTTTTCATTTCAGTTCTTCGATATTTCAATTTTTCAAGTTTTCGAATTTTTCAAATGTTTTGATTTCTTAATCAATCGATTTTTCGACTTCCCGGCTTTAGATTTTCTGTTTTTCAATTGTCGTTTTTTCAAATTTTCGATTTTTCAATTTTTCAAATTTGACATTTATAAACTGTCAATTTTTCGATTTTTCAATTAATCGATGTTTTGATTTTCCCATTTCTTGACTTTCGAGGGTTTCGATATTCCTGTTCTTCAATTCTTTAATTTTTCGATTTTTCAGATTTTTGATTTTTTATTTTTTTAAGGTTTCGATTTTTCTTCCCGGTTTTAGATTTTCTGGTTTCAATTGTCGTTTTAAATTTTTCGATTTTTCAATGTTTTGATTTTTTTAGTTTTTCTTTCATTTTTCAGTTTTTCGATATTTAAGTTTAGGGATTTTTCAATATTTCGATTCTTCGACTTATTCAATTAGCCAAGAATTGAAAAATTGAAGTGTTAAAAATTGAAAAATCGGGAAATGAAACATCGAAAACTCGACAAACCCAAAAGTCAAAAATTCGAAAAACCGAGAAATCGAAACAACGAAAAATTGAAATACTTGTTAAAAAATTCAAAAACTGAAAAATCCAAAAATTGACAAAATGAACTAGTTCTGGTGATCGAAAGAAAATGTATTTAATTAAATTTCAAAAATTGTGGAAAAATTCAGAGTATATTCTGATAATCAATATTAAGTAGAAACCAATGGCGTAAATAACTACACTTATCCCAACTGGAATCGAAAAATTGAAAAACTGTTAAATCGAAATCAGAAAAGGCCAAACATCGAAACTGAAGCATCAGAAAAATCGAAAAATTCAAAATTTAAAAAATCGAAAAATTGAAAAATTCCCATAATCGAAATGTTAAAAAGTTGAGAAACCGGAAACCTAAAAAATGGAGAAATCGAAAATCGAAGAATTAAAAAATCAAAAAAAAGGGAGCAGACGGAAACCTGAGATGTCGAAAAATGAAAAATTCGAAACATCAAACAATTTTAAACGTAAACTCGAAAAACTGAAAAATCGATAAATAGAAAATTTAAAAATCGAAAAATGCCAAAATTGAAAAAATCCAAAAACTGAAAAATCAAAAAAATTGGTAATCCAAAAATCCATTTAAAAAATGGAAAAATGGAAGAAGTTGGAAAATCCCAAAAACTGAAATGTCGAAAAATTGGAAAATAGAAAAATGGAAAAATTGGAAACCCGAAAAATCGAAACGGCCGAAAGTCGAAAAATCGAAAAACCGAGAAATGAAAGAATCAAAACTTGGAAAAACGGAAAATTAAAATATCGAAAAATTGAAAAATACGGAAATTGAAAGATTACTTAAAATTTGAAAAATTCCTAAAATTGAATGTCGAAAAATAGAGAAAGCAGAAACCTGAAAAATCGAAAATTCAAAAAATTGAAATATTCAAAAATTTAGTAAACTGGAAAACCAAAACATCACAAGCTCCAAAAATTGAAAAATTGGAAAAGGAGAAATTGAAAATCGAAAAACTAAAAAAGCAAAAACGAAAAAACAATGCCTCGAAAATTTAAAAACGTAAAAAATCGAAAAATTGAAGAAGCAACAAACTGAAAAATCTAAAAATCGGGAAATCGAAAAGTCGAGATGTCGAAAAATCGAAAAATTTTAAATTTAAGAAACATTGAAGTATCGATAAATCGAGAAATCGAAAAATCTACAATTCAAAAATTCGAAAAATTAAAAAATTGAAACATTCAAAAATCGGGAAATCAAAAATATGAAACATCGAAAAGTCGGAAAATTGAAGAATCACATCGCTGAAAAGTCTAAAAATCTAGAATCCAAGAAATCGAAAAATAAAAACATCAAAATATTGAGAAATCGAGAAATTGAACGACTGAAAATGTAAAAACTGCAAAATTGAAAAAGCGAGAAATCTAAAAATGTAAAATTTAAAATTAGAAAAATTGATATTAGAAATTTAAAAAATTGAAAAACAAGAAATTAAAAAGCGATAAACTAAAAACTCAAAGATCCTAAAAAAACGGGATATCTAAAATTGTAAATTTAAAAAATCGAAAAATTGAAATCTCGAAAAATTATGAAACCGAAAAGTTGAAAAATCGAAACATCGAAAAATTGCAAAATTGAAAAATCGAAAAGCAGAAAACTCGAAAAATTTAAAAACCGGGAAATCGAAAAGTCGAGATGTCGAAAAATCGGAAAACTTAAAAATTTTAAAAATTGAAAAATCAAAACATCACAAAATCGTCAAATCGAAAAATTAAAAAATTTAAAAAGAAGAAATTGAAAATCGAAAAACTGAAAACTCATAAAAATCTAAAAAACCGGGAAATCGAAAGTCGAGATGTCGAAAAATCAAAAAATTTAAAATTCAAGAAGCATTGAAGTCTCGACAAATCGAGAAACCGAAAAATCTAGAATTTAAAAAGTCGAAAAATTATCGATTTTTGACTCCTGGATTTTTCAGTTTTTCGATTTTTAAATTTTATATTTTTTAATTTCTAATTTTTAGATTTTTCAATTTCTCGATTTTTCATTTCAGTTCTTCGAAATTTCAATTTTTCAAGTTTTCGAATTTTTCAAGTTTTCGAATTTTTCAAGTGTTTCGATTTCTTAATCTTTTGATTTTTCGACTTCCCGGTTTTAGATTTTCTGTTTTTCCATTGTGGTTTTGTCAAATTTTCGATTTTTTAATTTTTCAAATTTGACTTTCATAAACTCTCAATTTTTCGATTTTTCAATTAATCGATGTTTTGATTTTCCCATTTCTTGACCTTCGAGTGTTTCGATTTTCCTGTTCTTCAATTCTTTAATTTTTTGATTTTTCAATTTTTCGATTTTTTAAGGTTTCTATTTTTCGGCTTCACTTTTTTGATTTTTCGATTTTTCAGTTTTAGGATTTTTCAATATTTCAATTCTTCGGCTTTTCTATTTTTGACTTCTGGGTTTTTCGGTGTGTCTACCTTGTTACTTTTTCGATTTTTCAATTTTTGGATTTTTAAATTTTTCAATCTTGGTATTTTAATTTTTCAATATTTCTTAACCTTTCTATTTTTCGACTTCCTGGTTCTGTTTTTCAATTTTTCGATTTGTTAATTTTTCATTCCCGATTTATCGAGATTTGATTGTTCAGGTTTTCGATTTATCATTTTTTCAATTTTTTATTTTGGCTTATTTCGGTTTTCCAGTTTTTCCAGTTTTCCATTTTTTTGTTTTTTGATTTTTCCGCTTTTCCAATTTTTCAACTTTTAACTTTTTGTTTGTCGATTTCTCTATTTTTCGACTTCATCACTTTTCGATTTCTCGTTCTTTGGATCTTTCAATCTCTCAGTTTTTCGAATTTTTAAGTTTTTTGATTTCTCGATTTATTGAGATTTGGATTTTTCTCAATTTATAAATTGTTTATCCGCTTTTTTAAATTTGGGAGTTTCGATTTTTCGTTATTCGATTTTTAAATTTTACCTTTTTTCGATTTTCAGTTCTTCGATATTTCGATTTTTCAATGTTTCGGTTTTACGATTTTTCTATTATTAGATTTCTCGAATTTTCGATTATTTTAATTGTTTTTTTTTCTCACTGTTAATATCATACAGTGTATCGAAAACAACCGCAAAAATTGTCACTAAAAACATAAAAAAAATCCTACAAAATAGAACACAGTGTTTCCAAAACGTTTTCCCGAAAAAATCCATTTCAACAATATTTTAATTCTTAGTTAAACTAAATATGTACCAAAAATATTCGCTTAGTCGTTATAAAAACGGACCAAACAACTATTTCCCGCAGAAATTATAGTCTAAACCAACCAAATCGCTTCCGAACGCTTAGAGTCGACATTGGCCTGAGCGCGCTCTGGTCTGTAAATCAAACAAGTTCTCAGGCGACGAGTTGTAGTGAATCAAGTTTTTTTATTACCATCGACTATTTAAATCTGGCGATTACTCCAATGTCAATAAGGATGGTTTTGCAAAATCAGCCTGTATGTCGCATCTATATTAGTTCAAGGACAAAACTAATTTTTAAAATAACTGAGAAAAATGAATTTATTGTGAAAATCACTATCAACAACTGTTTTCAGCTAACTTATTACGTAATTTTCCAACACAGTAACTGAAATCGCTAACGCATTTACTACTCCAACTCCCGGTTGTCTCAACCCAACTAATTAAAACGCAACCTTCGTTGCATTTTTTATTTTCACAAATTATTCGAAACGTCAGACTTCTTTGGCACTACAATACATAACTACAACGGTGCATCAAAGCTTAAAAAAATTAACCCCTAGTGCAGAGCGTCATGATTTTGTAAAATATAATCACAGTTATGGGACGTCGTCATCACGTTACAAAAACCTACACTAAAATCGAGCTAACACAAACAGGAATCCTCCGCGGTTTCCTCGCTGGGGGTGATCTTGAACCCGTGCTGTTCCATTGATTGCAACTCCAGTCTTGATCGGTTTGATTGCACCAGTTGTGACGCAATATCGTTGAACATCTCCTCGACGCCCTCGCCAGTCTTACACGACGTTTTGTAGGTCCCGGTGATGAGGTTGTGGCATTGCTCACTGAAACACCCGCTAAAAACGCTGTCACAATCGTACAACTAGTTACCAAAAAGCCTCAATTTCTGTGTCTGTGATTTGGGGTACATCACTGAGCAAATCGGATTTGTTCCCACATAGAAAGATTTTCGCGTTTTCGGCGTACGTTACGATGTCGAGGAGGTGCTGAGAGAGAATGTGAAACGAAGCGGGGTTGTCAAGGGCGAAAACCAAGACGGCAGCTTCGGCGAACTTGTAGTAACTGGAGGTGATGGAGGCCACTCTTTCCATCCCTCCGGTGTCCCACAGTTGCAGCTACAACCCACCAGTCGACTTACTAAGTCGCAAAAATCACGAAAAGTACCTTTAAATCCCGGTCCCCCACATGGTACGTCTTTGAGTAGTGGTCCAGCCCTAAAGTCGACTTTCTATCAGTCGCCGTGACGAACGTATTATTCGTAAACCGTCGAAAAATCGAGCTTTTTCCAACCCCATATTCGCCGCAGAGTATCACTTTTTGCTCAGGTATTTTTATTGTTGCCATTTTCGTTAACAAAACACAACAGTGACAATCACCTGTATGACAAGTGGCATTGGTGCGAAGCGGTTCCGCTTCAATGCACCATTACTTCGAAACGTCGTTGAACTAAATTAACATTCAGCGCTTAATAACCATACCATACCATGAGATTCCAGTTCCACTTATTTCCAATTATACACATAATCACAATTTCGCAATTGTTAATCCACAATGAGATAACGTAATCTCGAGTGGTTGCATTCGCGATAATGACACCACTTCATTAGTTCAAATTTGAAACGCAATAACTAAAAACCACCAAAAATGAAACGTGCCTTAGCTTCCTGTAAACCGATGAAGATGTGGATCGATGGTAAATGTTTCGAGATACGCCGCTTTCAGAAAAAGAGCAAAAAGTCGGCGCAAGACGACGGTAGCGAAAGTGAGGTTATGTCTGTTTGTTTGTGTTTATGTTTGTTTTTGCAGGTCAACGAACAGAGGATGATGTTAAGTATGACATTAGCACCACCGAAGACGGGAAATTGTTCACCAGCTTCCGCCTCCCGGAGTAATTCCACCAATTAACGTTGCTCTCTTATCTATAATGATTTGCAGGGTTTACTATTCAAAACTGTCCAAATTCCCTGATTGGGACCTGAAAATCCTCGAGACTAGTACAAACACGACGATATCAATCCCCAATAGGGGCAACCTGGTTATAACTGGGGACTCCGAAGCGACAATCACGGAAGCACGCAACGAAATCCAGTCCATAGTCGGCGCCATCAGAGACCACGTATCCGCCCTACAATTTGTATCAATACCGACACGAAGCGACGAAATCGTCGCCAATTTTACTAAATTCAAGGAGGAAATTCTAAGCGGCGACAAAATCGACGGCATGGAGGAATCAATATTTCAGAGCCCCTTCAAACTACACTTAACCGTCGTGGTTTTCGCCTTATTAGACGACCACGAGAAATCCGAAGCCATAAAAGCGCTACAAGATTACAAAAACATGATCCTCGAGTAAGTGAAAACCGGTCATTACTCGTTAAATCTGATTATTTGTAGCCCCCTTATAGCAAAAAGCGGACCTGTGAAAATTAGGGTTTCTGGCATTGATTGCATGAACAATAATTACAAAAAAGTGGATGTTTTATATGCTAACGCGAAACTTGTGGATGAAAGTGAAGATTTGTCATTACAAAAGTTGGTTAATGAGTTGTCTGACCATTTTTACGATAGAGGTAAAAGGGGAGTGGTTATTTCTTTAATTGAGGGTGGTTTTCAGGCCTTGTGCGTACCTACCAAGACAATGTGAAGCTGCACATGACCCTAATTAATACGAAATATCGCAAGGAAGTCGGCACCCCTCGAAAGAAACGCTGGAGCAGAAAGCAGAGTTTCAACGCGACAACCATAATGGAAAAATACAAGGACTTTACTTTCGGCGAGTGCAACCTAGACTGCATCCACTTGTCGCTCATGGGCTCTGTAGGAGATGACGGCTTTTACGAACCCATGTCCATTATCAACGTAAACTAATCACAATTTTGCAATATTTTACCCATTACCATATTTTAAACTAGCAATTAGAAATGTCACTACGTTAACCAATCAGACGCACCTCGTCACCCGATTGGTCACCCGTTGTCTGTCAAAATTACATAACCTAAGCGCTTCAAATGGAATTTGAAGTCGAAAGTTGTGATCTCAGTACAAAAGATTATAAATTCAGTAGTGTACCTGTTTTAAGTAAAGAACTTTCCTACGACGACTTTTTCAGAACTTACATGCAACCTAATTTACCTTGCGTTATCGAAAACGTGACGACGGATTGGCAGGCGCACTTCAAGTGGTTGAACAACAACAATAAACCCAATTTAGACTATTTACGCAGCCAGTATGGTTCCTGTGACGTCACGGTGTACAACTGCAACGAAAAATACTTCAACTCGCAGAAAACTGAGGCTTGTAAGTTGTCGCATTTTTTCGATTTGTGGGGCCAAGACAGTTCGAAGTTTAAATACTTGAAAGACTGGCACCTGAAGAACACGTTCAAGAACGACGATTTTTATCAAGTTCCGGTTTATTTTGCGTCGGACTGGTTGAATGAGTTTTTGACTGAGAATAATGAAGATGATTATCGGTTTGTTTACATGGGGCAAGCTGGCACTTGGTACAGTTGTGGGTTTGCGTGATTTGGCTCTGATGGTGGTTTTTAAGGACTCCTTTCCACGCGGACGTTTTTAATTCCTTCAGCTGGTCGGCCAATGTTTGCGGCAAGAAAAGGTGGATTTTGTTTCCTCCTGGTGAAGAAACTTTTTTTAAGGACTCACTCAACAATTTAGCTTATGATATTAGCGATGTTTATAAGACTAGGGAGCATTTTGAGCTTGTACAGAACCCAGGGGAGGCGATTTTTGTACCCTCTGGATGGTACCACCAAGTCTGGAATTTAGAAGACACTATTTCTGTTAATCATAACTGGGTTAATGGGTGCAACATCATGAAAATGTGGCGAGCGATTGAGGAGAATCTGGCCAGTGTGAAGAAAGAGATTGAAGATTGTGAAGATATGGATGGGTTTAATAGTCACTGTCAAATCATGTTGAAAGCGTCATTTGGGATTGATTTTTTCAGATTTTATGAATTTCTTGAGTTTATCGCCTTGAGAAGACTGTCACAAGTTGAGAACAATAGGACGGAAATTTTGTTCCATGGTCACTCATTGGGGGTTAAGCACGCCACCTTTGATCTAGTTGCACTTAAGTCAGTTCTTGAAGAGTTCATCCAACATTGTGACGTTCCTAAAATTTTTAATTCAGACATATCTAAACCTGAAAAACTTTTACAAAAAATCAGAGATTCTGTTAAAGTTTATTAAAACATGACTTAAGTAAGTATAAAAACAGCCCCAGTTTCCAAAATATATAAACTACAAATGTGTAAATTCGTAAAAATCATAGCCTCATTATTTCATCTTTATTTTCAGGGGAATTTAATTTTCTTGGGTTTTACGCATTTTGATTAAAGTTTGGATTTACAAACATCAATCACTCCATTTTCCACGAGTTTGTTAATATCGCCTTCAGAATAGCCCACGCTTGCTAAAACCGCCCTCGTGTGTTCCCCCACTTGGGGTAGCTTTTCCATCCCCTTACTTTTTCCGGGAGTCCTGCTTAAAACCGGCGCCGGTTTGGGGACGCCCCCTTCAAAACTACCCCGTTCCAAATTATGCGGATGTTTAGGAGCCTCCTCTAGCGACAACACGGGGGCGACGCAAGCGTCCGTCCCGTCGAAAATCGCACACCACTCCTCTAGCGTCTTCTCGCGGAATTTCGCCTCAAATAAAACCTTCAATTTGTCAAAATCCCCAAAATGCGGAGCCTCGTCCTCGTCAATCCCCAACCCCTCTACCAATTTCGCGTAAAACTGGGGCTCCAAAGCCCCCACTGACACATATTTTCCGTCTTTGGTCTCATACACTTCGTAAAAATGGGCCCCCGTGTCGAGAATGTTCTCCCCTCTTTGTCGACCCCACATCGGCAGCACCTGTGACCTGTATAAAAAGCTGCCAACGTACGCCGTCCCTTCCACCATACTACTATCGACGACTTGCCCCAAACCCGATTTCTGACGCTCCAAAAGCGCCAACGTCACTCCTAAAGCGCAAATTAAACCGCCTCCGGCGAAATCCGCCGCGTAATTGACGGGGAAAACCGGCTTTTCGTGTTTTCGTCCGAAAAGCGATAATAGGCCGGACAGTGCTAGGTAATTGATGTCGTGACCTGCGCTTTTGGCGAAAGGGCCGGTCTGCCCGTACCCGGTCATTCTGGCGTAGATTAGTTTGGGGTTGTCTTTTAGAAGGATGTCTGGACCTAGACCAAGCTTCTCCATTACGCCGGCACGGAAGGGCTCGATCAGGACGTCGCTTTTTTTGGCTAGGTTTCTCACGATTGTTACGCCGTCTGGGTGTTTTAGGTTTAGGGCGATTGATTTTTTACCGTTGCCGAGGGTGTCGACGTTGGTGTCGCTTCCGATCTAAAAGGGTCCGTTAATGTTGCACGCACACTGAGGGTGATTTACCTTGTCTACGCGCAGGACGTCTGCTCCAAAATCCGCCAGGATCATCCCGCAAAAGGGGGCGGGGGCCAAACCGGCCAATTCCAGAACTTTTATGCCTCGGAGAGCCATTTTTGGGCTGGTGTAACAGTTATGTGTACCGTGACTGGGCAAAGTGTGGACTAATCAATTATATTAGTGTTATCAGCAGTACTCCAGCGTCATAACACCATGTTGACTTCGGCACTTACGTATTCAGTTTTTTTTGATAAATTGGACATTTCTTATGCTCGTGTGACAGCACTTTTCCACAAAATTGAAATCGAAATAAGAATTAACTACAAGTGTTTATTTTACGAAATTTTTGACCACAAGTTTTGAGGTTACGTGTTCTGTTAAGTGGGATTTATAAACTTGCTGTTAACGTTGCAGTTGCTGTTCTCGCTGACGTTGATGTTCAACTTTTACCCTATTTAAAGGGGTTGTGGAAGAAAAGTGAAGGATTTAAGTTTCTTGTTGTCGAAATAAGTACACATATCGAGAAAAAACAAGGCAAAATGTAGCCCCGCCCACCCACCCTATCTCAATTGTGATTTTTTTTATTCGTCGTGAGTCAACGGGGCGGAGCTTAACTGCAAAATCCTTATTTCTCTACGAGAAATTAAAAACTTGTTTTGAGTATCGTGTGTTCAATCAATTCTATGTATATTAAGAAAAAAAGGCAAAATATTAACCCCGCCCACCCACCCCATCTCAATTGTAATGATTTTTTTAATTAGAAACTTAGAACACGTTTAAATGCATGCAAAAAGTGTGACGTCACATAGGCGTTGGCGCGTTCCAACTGATTCCAAACAAAAATGGTTGCTATGGTTACCTGTGTTAAATGGCCATAAGAAAGTGGAATCAGTGGCACTGGTTTGTTGTGTTTGGAATCAGTTGCTATAGCAACCACGACGGATGACGTCACGACTTTTCTGGTGTATTGGTAAATTTTTGTTAAGAAAATATGGATCTTGCAATTAAGCTCCGCCCCTCGATCTGACAACGAATAAAAAATTCATCACAATTGAGAATTCATTTTGCAGTTAAGCCGCGCCCGTTTAAATCACGACGAATAAAAAAAATCATTACAATTGAGATGGGGTGGGTGGGCGGGGTTTATATTTTGCCTGTTTTTTCTTAATATACATAGTATTCTTCGAACAACACGATACTCAAAAACATGTTTTTAATTTCTTGTAACGAAATAAGTTTTTGCAGTTAAGCTCCGCCCCCTTTGTTCTCGGCGAATAAAAAAAATCATCACAATAGAGACAGGGCGGGTGGGCGGGCTTACATTTTGCCATTTTGTTTTAATATGTGTAGACTTCTTTTCACGACAACAAACTTAAAACATATTTAAAATGGAAAATTTGTACAGGGAAATGTCGATTTTGCAATTAGGCTGCGCCCCATAATTGCAGAATCCATAGTTCCTTGCAAGAATCTATTTTAACCATGTTTCAGGTTTCTTACTGTGTAAATATGTATATTATGAAAACAAAGGCAAAAAATAAGCCCCGCCCACCCGCCGTATCTCCATTCTGATGATTTTTTTATTCGTCGTGTGTCGAGGGGCGAAGCTTAATGGTAAAATCCTTATTTTTCTGCGAGAAATTACCATGTGCAATTTGTTCTTGTTCTGAACAGACGAGTATGTATATTAAAAAAAAAAAAGAGAAAATGTAAGCCCCACCCACCCACCCTATTTCAATTGTGATGAATTTTTCATTCGTTGTCAGATCGACGGGCGAGGCCTAATTGGAAGATCCCTATTTTCTTACAAAAATTTACCATTTTAAACGTGTTCCAAGTTTCTAATAATAAAAAAATCATTACAAGTGAGATGGGGGTGGGGGCGAGGTTAATATTTTGCCTTTTTTTCTTAATATACATAGAATTTTTTGAACAATACGATACTCAAAAACATGTTTTTCATTTCTTATAAAAAAATAAGTATTTTGCAGTTAAGCTCCACCCCCTTGGTTCACGGCGAATAAAAAAAATCATCACAATTGAGACAGGGCGAGTGGGCGGGCTTACATTTTGCCTTTTGGTTTTAATATGTGAAGACTTATTTTCACAACAAGAAACTTAAAACATTAAAGGGAAAATTTGTATAAGAAAATAACGATTTTGCGATTTGGCTCCGCGCCATAATTGCAGAATCCACATTTCCTTGCAAAAATGTACCATTTTAACCATAAGTTTCTTGTTGTGAAAATATGGCTATGTATGTTAAGAAAACAAAGGCAAAATATAAGCCCCACCCACCCGCCCTATCTCCATTCTGATGATTTTTTTTATTCGACGTGAGCCAAGGGGCGGAGCTTAACTGTAAAATCCTTATTTCTCTACGAGAATTTAAAAACATGTTTTTGAGTATCGTGTTGTTTAAAGAGTACTATGTACAGTTGGCTCCAGAAAAAACGGGAACTGTCAAAGTTAGTATAACATATTACTCCGTGAATTTTCCTAGTTTAAATAGGACTATTTTGAAATAGGTTAGAACAATAATGACATTACAAAAATGTTTTGTCAAAATAGTGACAAATATGTAACATATCTGTCAAATTGACAAGTAAGAAACAGGTACATTTTACATTGTACAAAAATGGCATTCCCTTTTTTCTGGAGCCAACTGTATATTAAGAAAGAATAAAGCCAAAGATACCCATACCCCCCGATCTCAATTCTCAATTGTGATGAATTGTTCATTCGTTGTTAGATCGAGGGGCGGAGCTTAATTACAAGATCCATATTTGTCCACGAGAATTTACCATTTTAAACATGTTTTAAGTTTCTTGTTCTGAACAGACGACTACGTATACTAAGAACAAAGACAAAATATAAGCCCCGCCCACCCGCCCTATCTCAATTGTGATGATTTTTTTTATTCGTCGTGAGCCAAAGGGGTGGAGCTTATCTGCAAAATCCTTATTTCTCTACGAGAAATTAAAAACATGTTTTTGAGTATCATGTTATTCAAAGAACACAATGTATATTAAGAAAAAATTAAAGCCAAAGATTAAGCCCCACCCATACCTGCCCTGATCATTATAGCTTAAAATGGAAAATTTGTATAAGGAAATAACGATTTTGCGATTAGGCTCCGCCCCATAATTGCAGAATTCGCATTTCCTTGCGAAAATGTACCATTTTAACCATGTTTTAAGTTTCTTGTTGTGAAAATATGGCTCTGTATGTTAAGAAAACAAAGGCAAAATATAAGCCCCGCCCACCCGCCCTATCTCAATTGTGATGATTTTTTTTTATTCGTCCTGAGCCGAGGGGCGGAGCTTAATTGAAAAATTCTTATTTTTCTACGAAAAATTACCATGTGAAATTTGTTCTTAAGTCATCGTGTTATACAAAGAAAACTAGATGTATTAATTAAAAAAGAAAACCAATAGAGAAGCTTCACCCATCCGTCTCGATCTCAATCGTGATGAATTTTTCATTCGTTGTCAGAGGGGCGGAGCCTAATTGCAAAATCGACATTTCCCTATATAAATTTACCATTTTAAATATGTTGTAAGTTTCTTGTTCTGAAAAGACGACTACGTATATTAAGAGAAAAGACAAAATATAAGCCCCGCCCACCCACCCTATCTCAATTGTGATGAATTTTTCATTCGTTGTCAGATCGAGGGGCGGGGTTTAATTGCAAGACCCCTATTTTCTTACAAAAATTTACCATTTTAAACGTGTTCTAAGTTTCTAATAAAAAAAAAATCATTACAATTGAGATGGGGTGGGTGGGCGGGGTTTATATTTCGCCTGTTTTTTTCTTAATATACATAGTATTCTTTGAACAACACGATACTCAAAAACATGTTTTTAATTTCTTGTAACGAAATAAGTTTTTGCAGTTAAGCTCCGCCCCCTTAGTTTTCGGCGAATAAAAAAATCATCACAATAGAGACAGGGCGGGTGGGCGGGCTTACATTTTGACATTTTGTTTTAATATGTGTAGACTTCTTTCCACGACAAGAAACTTAAAACATGTTTAAAATGGAAAATAAGGAAATATCGATTTTGCAATTAGGCTCCGCCTCATAATTGCAGCATCCATATTTCCTTGCAAAAATGTACCATTTTAACCATGTTTTAAGTTTCTTGTTGTGAAAATATGGCTACGTATATTAAGAAAACAAAGGCAAAATATAAGCCCCACCCACCCGCCCTATCTCCATTCTGATGATTTTTTTTATTCGACGTGAGCCGAGGGGCGGAGCTTAACTGTAAAATCCTTATTTCTCTACGAGAATTTAAAAATATGTTTTTGAGTATCGTGTTGTTTAAAGAGTACTATGTACAGTTGGCTCCAGAAGAAAACGGGAACTGTCAAAGTTAGTATAACATATTATTCCGTGAATTTTCCTAGTTTAAATAGGACTATTTTGAAATAGGTTAGAACAATAATGACATTACAAAAATGTTGTGTCAAAATAGTGACAAATATTTAACATATCTGTCAAATTGACAAGTAAGAGACAGGTACATTTTACATTGTACAAAAATGGCATTCCCTTTTTTCTGGAGCCAACTGTATATTAAGAAAGAATAAAACCAAAGATACCCCTACCCCCCGATCTCAATTCTCAATTGTGATGAATTCTTCATTCGTTGTCAGATCGAGGGGCGGAGTTCATTACAAGATCCATATTTGTCTGCGAGAATTTACCATTTTAAACATGTTTTAAGTTTCTTGCTCTGAAAAGACGACTACGTATATTAAGAAAAAAGAGAAAATATAAGCCCCGCCCACCCACCCTATCTCAAATGTAATGATTTTTTTTATTCGTCATGAGCCAAAGGGGTGGAGCTTAACTGCAAAATCCTTATTTCTCTACGAGAAATTAAAAACATGTTTTTGAGTATCATGTTATTCAAAGAACACAATGTATATTAAGAAAAAATTAAAGCCAAAGATTAAGCCCCACCCATACCTGCCCTGATCATTATAGCTTAAAATGGAAAATTGGAAAAGTCCTTATTTTTCTACGAGAAATTATTATATGGAATACGTTTTATCGTGTTTTACAATGAAAACTAAATGTATTAATTTAAAAATAAAAGCAAAAGAGAAGCCCCACCCATATCCATCCCAAGCTCAATTGTGATCGCAATTTGATTGGTTGAAAACCCAACGTCAACGGCAACGTAACGGCGAGCAGCAACGTCAGCGGTAAGTGTATAAATCGACCTTTACGTCAACTTATAAACAGTGGCGTGATGTGTAATGACGCATTTTTGACAATAAAGTCGCATTTAGAAAGAGAAAAATTTTAAAAACACGTCTATGTTAAAAATTAAATTTGTTTTACTTTGAAGTTATTTTTTCGCGAGTAGCGAATAAAACTT